AAGCGGGGTTCACTTAAAACAAGCCATCTCACCCTTCTCACTGACAGCAGGGAACGATCTCGTTCAGGAGATGCCGAGCAGGGCCCAGCACCTCAGGGACCCCTTCCCCAGGGACTGTGGGGGCAGCCTCAGCTGGGGCTCGTTTGGGCTCTTCAAATTAGCACCACAAGGAGGAATTGTGGATGCATTTTGCTGAAGGCAATGCAAAGGCCCTGTAAGGCAAAGGGCATGGACCCAAATTCCACTTACACACACAAAAATCCTAGAGCACACCAGCACAGCCCAGCCCATCCCCTGCTGAAGATTCTCAGTTTTCCCACACACAGCAAGAGTACAGCCCCCCCGTGGCTGCCTTTATGACTGTCCCGAAGGAGGAATTGATTATATATTGATGAATTAGCCGAGATTGACAGGCTCATTAGCGGAACAATTTAATATGCTCATGAATTAAACTTCTGTGCTGCTCAGAGTGAGCTGGGCAGCCAAGGGCAGTCACAGGAGCTCCGTATCACGATGAACACACAGCATGGCAGCGGCTGGATGGCACCACACAGCTTCCTTCATGTGCGGCCTCGGGCATGGCAGCAGGAGGATGTGACACCCCTGGGGCCACCCTGCCCTCTGGTGCAACCCATCCCAGGCCCTCCTTAATCCTACAAACAGCCCCTGCTCAGCCAGCACACCTGAGCTAGAAGGGAAGCTCCTGCTCTCCCTCCTGGCCAGCAGGGAGCCACTGAGGGATACAGCTCTTGGACTCTCCCTCATCCTTTTCTTTAGCCAGATTCGCCTCTGCTTCCTCCCCCAAATCCCAGCCCCTTCCACCTCCTTCTGCACACCCAGCCCAGTTTTCCTGCTCCATCCCGGCTGGTGGAGCTCAGCCTGCATTTGGTGAGTTCTCCACCGTGCCTCACAGTGGCTATATTGAAAAAACTTCAGCATCATTAAAAAAAAAAAAAAAAAAAAAGAGATTTTTTTATTTTTTTTTTTTTTCAGCTAATGCAGCCGAGCACCCTGCAGGATGGGGCTGTGTCTGGCAGAGCCCCACAGCTGCTGTGCAGCGATAAGTGCGGCCGCCGCGGCAGGCTGCCTTCCCCTGCAGCAGCTCAAGATGAGACAGGAAAGGGTGGGATGGGTGTCAGCACGAGAACAAGTTGTGACAAACAGGAGGCTGAGGCTCCTGGCTTACCAGAGATGCTGAGGAGAGCATCGCAGCTCGCCCTGGGAGGGAACAAAACCTCCCTGGCACACACGATGGGCTCCAGGGGGCACAGACCCTAAAACAGCTGTGTTTTGCATGCTTTGGTACACTTTTCTCTCCAGCCTGTGCTGCAGGCCACATACAGGCTCTTTGCTGTCACACCACAGAGCTGATCCTGACCTCCAGCCCCGAGAACAAACTCCACACGGCTGCAGATGTGGAGGTTTTTGTGCAGGGCCCTAGGACCACGGGGAGATGGGGCTCCCATGGGAGAGCTCAAAGCTGCTGCTGGAGGCTGGCTTCGGCCTCCAGAGCCAAGAATTGGGCAGAAACAAAGCTGAGCCATGCCCAGGCTTCCTGAACCCGGGCTGGCAGCTGGGGATTTGGGCTCCAAGGGAAGGAAAGTCATTGTGGGCACAAGCTGGCTCACGGAGGCCTTGCAGGCACTCCCTTGTGCCTGCCAAACAGCGTGGGCATTGTGTGCAGCCCCTGCTGGGATTAAATAAGAACAGAGAAATGTTCTGTTGAGGACTGACAACTGCAAGCTGCGCTTCCAGCATGCGAGGGAAAAGGAGACGAGAAAGGAAAAGAGACTGAAAGGAACCACGCACTTCTCCGAGTGTTCAAAACAAGGTTCTGGCACAAGATTTGGGTCCCAAACTGGTGAAACTAAGCCCAGGGGTTCACATCTTCCTGCCAGCTGCACCCCACAGCGTGGGCAGGGCCAGCAGCCCCCACCCTCAGCCTGAGGTCCTCCTGCGAGACCTCTCGGGGCTGCTGCTCTGCTCCCAGGAGGGGGGAAGGACAAGGAAGGCAGCAGGGGAAGCACTCCTCGTTTCACTTGTTTCACAGCACTTTTCGGGCCGTGCCGCTGCCCTGGCCGGCTCCCAGCCCTCCGGGAGCTGCACCCGGGGCCACCCGCGCTTCTCGTGGGTGCCACCGCCCTCTGCAGTCCCCGGGGGAAGGCGCAGCTCAACGCCACGAGCCCTCGGCTTCCTCTCCTGCAAGCCCCTGCCTCGGGTCTTGTCGCTCCCACCAAGTCCCAGCCCTGAAGGAAATTCATCTGAGGACTCATCTGCCTGCTGCAGGAGCGGTAGGGATGGAGCTGGGGTGCAGGGAACACAACCCAGTGCCCCCATGTGCCCAGGAGCAGGGCTTGGCCACCCCTTCCTCCACCCATGCAGTTTGGGACGTGCCTGACTCAGATTAAAACTGGTTATTTTAGGCTCCCTTTAAGGTCAGTAAAGGCCTAGCCAATTTTAAGCAGAACAATCCCCATCCCCTCCCACGGCCTTGCCTCATTTCTGCTCCCCCCTCCTGCAGCCGCTGGTCGTGCAAGAAATGCTCAGCAGGGATGCTGGGTGCAAGGAACTGATTTTGCCAGCTCACATGGCACTGATCATGCCCCAAACATGCCGGCTATGCTGCTGCTCCAGCAGCTACTTTCTCAGATTAACACTCAAAGCAGAAATGTTTTTTTTAGTAAGCCATTCATTGTTACCTATGAAATCTACACAGCTTTCTGCTTGGTGCTAAAAGCGGAAACAGCACGTTTCATTTTGGGGTTGTATTAGCACGAATGCTGGAGTATTTGCTTCGTAGCAGCACGCTAATCACAGAAGCAGCCTGGCCTGTGGCTTGCGTGCAGAGCAGAAAGCAGAAGATAAGATGAGCATCTGCACCAAGGGCTCCAGCATCGGGACATTTTGGGCTCCGAGACCAAGGCAGCTCCCTTTAGTCCCCCCATTCCCCAGTGCCACATCCCCCTGGTGCCCTTTGCCTCTGCCCCCAGCTGTGCTCCTAAAAGCACCGATGAAACCGCTGTGATCGCACAAATCCTGTGACAGCACAGCACGGAGCTGCCGGCCCCTCTGCAGCACAGACTGGTGCTGGTTTCCAGGACCCATTAACCTCAGCAAGAGCTCGTGGGCCAAACTCATCCAGTGTTCAGTTCTGACAAAGCCTGTGCAGTTTTCCCAGTGATGAATTTGTAGTTGTAGCTCCAGAATTGTAATGCAATGTTTTGGTGCAGGGGCACACGAGTGCTCTGCCTGAAAACCGACGTGCCCGAGGCTCTGAACACCGAAATCCCCAAACTCACATAGTCACAAGACACCCCGGTAACACAAACACACCCCCATCGTACCGTGTCTCCTTCCCGTACGAGATGAAGGCTGCCCACTCGCTATTCTGTTTCTCAGCATTATTCAGGTGGCAGCCCTAAGCCTGGCACTCCCCAAGTGCACTTCTAATCCTGCTCTGAAGACAAAACTTATCTCAGAGGCTCCTCTAAGCTGCTCCGTACCAGAACACTTGATGTGCAGCCCAGAGCTTGCTTCAAAGTCTTGTGTCTTGAGCTGAGGCCAAGAGCAGTGAAAATCACGCTGCCTTTTAGCGCCCATCCAAATTTTCCCTTAATTTTCAGATGGCATCAGCAAGCACTTTGTATACCCAAACCTCAGCTCTCTGTGAGCTCTGGTGCTGCTCCGGGCACTCCTGCAGAGCATCCCTGCCGCTGCCACCAGCACCTGTTAGAGGTGCTGTGCCCCACAGCCAAGCTCCTGTTGCTCTGCCCCACCACAGCCCGAGGGGCTCTCAGGGCAGCTTCACCTCTCTGCTGCCTGGCTCCTGCATGCGGCCACCTCCTGGCCCCGGCCTTTTGGGTACGTACCTGCACCCAGCACACACCCTTGGCTCACAAACCCCAAAAAGCAGATGCGGCCACATGGCCGGAGCGACACACGTGAATATTCACCGAATACAGACTGCCTTGCCCAAATATGCTCCTGGCTGTCTGCGGGATGGGGTTTTTCTTCCCAGCTGCAGCATCCATTCCTTCTCTGCTCCTGATGTGCCCTGCGCAGCAGGAGCAGGAGCGTCGCCCCCCCGCTCACCTGCACCTGCACAGCCCAGGGATGGAGGGCTCTGTTCCCAAAGGGAGAGCGGGCAGAGATCACGGCTCTTGCCAAAGGACCAAGCTGAATTTCATCTGCCAAAGGTAAGGGTAAAGCTCTGGGTTTTTAGCTCTCCAACATCAGCCTCTGGGGGATCTGCTTGCACCCCAGCGGCATTTATCAGAGCCACAAATAACGCCTGACCTGACTGTAGAACAGAGGGAATTTAGCTTTTGGCTCATTATAATCTGTTTAACTCAGCTTATATTCAGCCAACGGGTCTTTTCAGAACCTGCTCTCCCTTCCCAAACTGGGAGCTAATTCCTTGGGTTCGGGGCTAATTCCTTGCCCAGAGCAGCGTGCAGCGGGGGGGCTGCACTGCTCCGAGGAAAGGCCACCGGTGTGGGCTTGTCCCCCAGCCAGCCGCCTCGCCTCGCCTCCCCCCTTGGCCAGAGTCCTGCACCAAGCACAGCAACAAGAACCAAGCCGAGGCAGGCGTCCAGGGAGAAAAAACCAGCTCGAATAAGCAGGGCTGGCAGAGCCATAACCCCCCGGGAACCCGAGAACCGGGCCCTGCAGGGGCACGGCGCGGCTGGGCTGGGGGGGCCGGGGGCTGCGGGGGGCTGCCCCAAGCCCCGCCTGTTGGTTCTCCCACCCCCGCCGTTATTTCCCCACCTTACCCTTACCCCTCCGGACCCCGCCGTTATTTCCCCCACCCTCTCCCCCTGCCCTCCTAGGGGAGGCGGCTGCCGCCCCCCGGCCGGGCGCTGCGCACCCCGGGCGCTGCCTCTCGCTCCCCGCAGCCCACCCGGAGCCCCCCCGACCTCCTCCCCAGTCCTCCCCCAGCATCCTCCCAGTCTCTCCACCGACCTCCCCCCAGCCCCGAGCCGGCGAGAGGCGCCCCTTACCTGCGCCCCCCCGGCGGGGATGCTCGGGGCGCTGCGGGTGGTGCCCGTGGGTCCCGCTCCGCAGTGCCCTGCGCTGCGCTTTCGCTTTCCCTTCGCCTTTCGCTTTCCCTTCGCCTCGCTGCCGTCGTCGATCCCTCCCGGGCCGTGGAGGAGGAGCGGTCCCTGCTGCCGCCCCCCCCTCTCCGAGCCGCTCTGAGCCCCCCCCGAGGCGAGCCGGCTTCATCCCAGCCATCAGGAGCCTGGCCGGGCCCCCCAGCACAGCCCTCGGATCCCCCCCGAGCAGACTTGGGGACACTGCAGGGACGTGGGGATGCGAGGGGACCCCCCGGGGGGCAGAAGGAGCCCACAGCCCAGAGGAGAGCTCCCCCCGAGCAGCCCCTCTGTAAGGGGGAGATGTACGACCTGGGGTGGTTTGGAAAATGCTATGGGAACCACAAGATTTCTGATAGCTAAGGACAAGCAAGGAATAAATCGAAAAGAAACGTTCTTGGTTCACCCCATGGTGTAAGAACCAGCCAGCTGCTCCCAATTAGATGCCTCGAGAAGCCTCACCTGGGAGCTGATCGGATGCAGCTCCCCCAAGCTCTATGGCCAAGGGCAGGAGCTGGGCTGGGGCTTTGCACAGGCACCAGCACGGCCCCGCTCCTCCTGGGCTGTTTTACTGTAACCCTCCTGCTACAGGGTGTTAATGACTGTGAGCTGTAAAGCTCTTTTCTTTAGGAATTTAGTCAGGTACCTGCTGTTCTTGGGCATTTCCTTCTGACCACTCCTGTTCTGTGCCTTGGTAGCGTTAGTTTAGGAGCTAGCAGCAGGTGCAGTTGAATTGCCTGGTTTGTCAGGCAAAGAGGTGAGGGATGGAGGTAAGGTCTGGTAGGATAAGAGGCCAAAGTTGTATGGTGTGAGTGGGGCAGAAAAACTGCCTCCCTACAGCTGAGGATGCCCTTTTCTACAACCTGCACTGGCTCAGGAGAATGCATTCCCTAGTTTTGTTTGGTTTTTGTTTTCCTCTCGGAAGCACTCATTTCTGCACTTCCAGAACGCTACTCACACAGCATTACCCCAGATGTAAGCAACGAGGCAATGCCCCAGTGCACAGGCTGATAGAAGGAGGCACCAAGGATTTTACTTTCTTACAGCTTTTGTTTGTTTTGTGCTGGAGAGGAACGCCGAGGGGAGGGCCCAGGGGTTTGCACAAGTTGCTGGGCTGCCCTGCAGAACTGCTGCTGTAACCCCTTACTCCAAAGGATCCAAAACACAAATAGGACAAGTGATACATTAGCCAGGCTATTAAACAATGAAACTTTACACTAACATCCTGGAGGAAGTGTTTCAAAAAGCTTCTAGGATTAATGATCTGTGGTCTGCTTAAATAAGGGAAGGTTAGCACAAGGGCTTGCTCTCCTCTAACGTTTAACTGGGTTGCAGAATCCAGATCCATATTCCAACAGGGGAAAAACTGAGCCGTGGGAAGTGACTTCCCATTATCTAAATACCACTTTTATTTACAGACATACATATAATAGTAAATTATAAAATCATAAAGTTACCAGTTGTCCAAATTATACTTGAAATTTGGGCCACGGGAACCAGCTTCCCCCAGTGCTCCTTAGGCTGCTTGTTGCCTGCTGTAATGCAGGGTTGGGTTTAATTTTTTGCAGATACCAAACCTACACGTACAAGACAGGCCAAACACTGATTATTTAAAAGGAAAACCAGGCACTGACAGGCAGGGTCCCTGCACTGTTTCTTACACCACCTAGTGTCGAACTTGGCTGACCCTGCTCCTCTCCGAGCACCCAGCTTTGTGCAGCTCGTGGGGGGGAGCCCACAGAAACCCAGCAGCACCGTTTGTGTGGCAAACACCTCCCACACCACTCTGCTACAGATACGTCAGCAGTGCTGCAGAGAAACTTCTTGCAGTCCCTCAGTGATGTGCCATTTCTAAATACGTGTGGAATTACCGGTCCCCTGGCAGTGCCTACAGGGCTGTAATAAATGAAGCTGCTGTTATACAAGTAAGGCATTAAAACACGACATAAAAATTATGAGAATATTCATTTTAAAGAGAATTCCAGATACAATTTTATTCAGAATTTTACAAACAACAAGCATTTTTCTACATATATATATATATATAAAGTGTAAGAATCAATTTAGTTACAGCTAGGAATATTTACATTCTTAAAAGAAATTTCCACGTGTTTCTATGTACAAGGCTGTGATCATCACTAGGAGGTTGAAGTACTCCCAAAGGCACGTGTAACCAATGCGTTATGCTGCCTAAGCTGATTCTAAGTTTTAAGAAACTTAAAACTGGTTTGCAAGTTAAGGCCCTGTTCTACAAATAGTGAAATACAAGTTTATTCAGAGACAGTCCCAACAACTTCTGCAGGTGCCTACTGTACATAGGTCTCTGGAGAGCACAACCAAGAACAGCCCCCATGGGTGAAACACGAGTGGCTGTAAACAGAGCCGGGTGTAACTCACGTTCATCTCGGATTCCATGAGCTCAGCAATTCAGTCCAGGTATCACCGTATCTCAAAATGGAAGTCTCCCAGACACAAACTGTTTTTATGACGTGGTTAGGTACACAGAGAAAGTTGTAAAGAATGCTCCTCCTCACAGGCAGCAGGCTGAAGGCAGTTCCGCATCAAACCAAGAAAGGGTTGTGCAATTAAAATAACATGAATAAGCATTCAGAGCCCAACCCTTGCCTTGACTTACTGCAGTCCCATTCCCCAGTCCTATGCACCACCTCCCTGAGCTTTCTTCTTTCAAACCGTAATTTGGAAGCACAGGAGCAGGTGCTCACACCTCTTAAAGTGCAGTGTCAGAAGTGACCCAAACCTGCCTGCTTCTGAAAGATGAATTACCAGATAATGCTGTTGTGAGGATTGCATTCACAGTCTGGAGAGTTGAGCCAGAAAATTCTATGAAATCTGACTGTTTTGCATGAACAAGTGACTGAAGAAGTTGTGGTACCTTTTGAGCTAACGGTATTTCCATTTGCATGCAAGGAAACCAGTCAGAGGATTGTGCAACTTGCCCGAGGTGATGAGGAGTCAGTCAAAGAGCTATAAATGAAGACACCCTAGTTCCCAGGTCAAGGCCTTAATACTGTTTTCCTTGGTGAACGCCCTGTAACGTGCATGGTTCTCTAGCAGCAGATAATTTCACCTAGCCAGAAGTCTCTGCTGTTGTAACGCAGGTTATGGGCATTGCAAACATTCAGCCTGAAGTTATAACAGCAGTCCCTTTACAGAAGGGTCTCAGAAAACAGGTCCCAGTCCTGCTTCACATCCCTGTAACACAAAGCGACACGCCAAGGACATGTCTATAGGGAAACACCACCCCAGACAATACTGGAAGTAAGCCATGCAGTCAGTGAGCACCATCCCAAACCATGGTACTGTGCAGCACTAATGCTTTGTTCCACAGCTACCCACAGCCACAGTTAGTGTCATAGATCTGACTTGTTGCCAGTGCTGATGTCACTCTAACACCTGCTAACTACTGGTTCAGTTCATTTAATCTACGTCTTGCCCAGATCACATCACCTGCCTGTTGATGCTATTAAAATAGTCCCTTGAGTTCTTCTGGAAATACTTGGTAGCTGGATTCTGACTACACACTAAAACAAGGAACTTGCTTTAAACAAGGAACTTGTTTTAGAGATTAGAACGATACATTCATCACTAAAGTTCCTTGTTTTAGAGATAAGCCTGAGGATCAGTGCAGGACAGCAAAATAAACAGAAAATAACCCAGGATGCTATACTAAATACATTGTTTCTGAGTCACACTTCTTACTTTTAAGATTAGCAAGGAAGAAAGTGTATTTTGTGACACAGAGCTGGCCATTGTGTTTTGCAGTGTTAGTCATAACCAGAAAATTCCCCAATTAGGTTGCACCAAAAATAAACAAAAAAACCCCTCGGCCCTTGTTTAGTAAACATCAGAGTACTCAAATATTCAAGAACAAAAGACTATCAGGCACATACCTGGTTGACACAGTGGATTAAAAATAACAGCTAAATCAGATGTTAGATGGACTTTAACAGGAATTTCTATAATAGATCATGTGTCAGGCAAGCACGTATCTTGTATTTTACATCTCAGGATATTTTCTGAAACAGTTTACAGGAAGAGGCTTATGGGACACAGTTGTTTACATTGGCAAACTCATCACAAGGAAGTTGCAGCTAATTGTGCTTTGCCTCAAATTCCTGTGGTGATCACATTTCTTCTATATACGACACAAAAAAGCAGCTGCTTCTGGATGCTCCAGTTCCTATCAGTTTAAAAGAGATAAGGCTTACAAAAATATATTGGCACCGAGCTTGTTGCATATGTAAGAATACGGTCTAAAATTTTCCAGAAAAGGTGCAAGGTGGGAAACCTGACAAATTCTATCAGGGCTTTTGGATGAGGGATGTTCCCACCACCAGGAAGCCCGGCTGATTCATGCCCTCTCCTGACATTTGTTTGCTCAAGGCCATTAAGTGATGTGCAGTGAAGCTTGCAAAATTCAGGCTCTCAACATATGCACCATTTTCAAATTATGCACTCCATTTTAAACTCATCTGTTAAATGCCTCTCTATCTGCCAAACAGGAATGAAACTGAACCTGCTGGAACTTTGGGATTTCTCTCCTCAGAAGAGCTGGCAGTATGACAAAAGTAAGCTTCTCCGTATCATTCTGTGGCCTGGCGACGCTGGCCAGCTTCCTGCTGCATCCAGAAGATAAAATGTTGAACAATTAGATGAGAAGATGCAGGGAAAGAAGAGCAAGCCCTGCAGATTAAGACATTGGTAGGAAGAGTGTAAAACACAAACCCAAAGACTGCAGTCCGTGCAGAGTTTCTGCCTTCTTGCTTCCCAGATGAACAGTCCAGAGGGCACAGAACTGCACCAAGCCAGCTGCTGCAGCCCGGTTAGCAAGGACAGGACACAGAGTATTGGCAATTCAGCTGTTCAACTGCGTGAATTGCTGCTGCACCTAGAAAGTAAGGCCCCTAACAGCTTGGACTATACAGGTTCAGGTTCTGTTTATTCAGTCGTTATAAGACAGGACAAAACACAAACAAGTGCCACAGATAAATGCTTTCACCATACACATCTGTCACAGTATTAAGTAATGCAAGTTCAGGATGGCACAAACGAAACTGTGCGTAGGTGTATATTGTATGTTTTTAAAGAAACACAGGTAGTGCCAAAGTGCTTCTATGACCCAAGGAATAATTTCTTGGCAGATTTTCAACATGATTTTTCTTTTCCTTTAAGAAATTCACACACACAATTAACACGAGTTAAGTGAAGTAACAGACCTCACAGGAATCAAACCGTTGGCACTTGAGAATCAAGAACCAGTGGTCACAAACATATTCTAAACGTTGTTCTTGGTAAATTTTACCATGAGGTCAGTGGAGTGGCGTGGATTATTGATAGTAGGTGGATGTGCATGTATGTGGATAGGACAGAACAAGGACAGGAGAATCACTTCCATCATCCCAAATTGCACAGAACATTTAAAAAACAAACAAACAATGCAGACAGTAAATTTCCAACACTCATCAAAAAGGAAGAACTCCAAACTAACAACAGCCTCTACACACACAGATGAAACCTTTTGCATCATTTAAAATAAATACAGCCTCAAATCAGGCCACATTCCAGTGTCAGATGTAAACAACTTCATCAGACGTATGTAGTTGAAAACCAGCATTGGATTCCAGTGGATTTTGTGAGCAAAGCTTCAATGCTACAGGTATTTTGTGCAAGACTATCCTTTCACTATGCTGAGTTAAAACATTTCACGTTAGAATTCCTTCTCAAAAATCTTTCTTTGCATCTTTCTGAATCTGTTACCAAATTCAGCACGTGTAAAGTCTCTTAAGATAACAAAGGCACGTTTTCATAACCTTTACTATAATAAATAAGTTTTCTGTCCAGAGACAGAAGTCAAGGATTCAAAACCAATTAGCAGCTTTTTCTAGCTATTTTAAATTCTTGATGGGCATCAGCTCTGGAGAAGGCTCACTGATGAATCCAGGTGCTCTGCTAGCCCTTGAACTCATTTTCAAGTATTGTTCAGCTGAACTACACACTTACTTACAAAGGATTGACCAGATACTGTTCCATGGTACTAATGCATTAAGGCGGCTGAAAATCTCATTGAAGGCTACACAGTATTTATGGCCATATAAAATGAGAATGTTTGGAACACAGTGCTTAAATTTATAAATAAGGTTAAAATTGCAGGAAGAAGTGTTGCCACTAGCCTGTTCTAGAAGGAATATTAGAAGAAAAGTCCATTTAACTTTCAATCCACAAGGAAGCAGACAGTTTCATTAAAAAGCTGTGCTCTTAAAAATCTCTGGATTTTCTTCTTCATCCTTTGAATTCCTTGTAGATGCAGGCCTGTATTCCAATCTGGAAAAAAATCAATGAATGAGAGAACAGAAAAAAAGTCTTTGATATCCTGAAACCTACTTGACATTACCGACTCCTAATTTTAATATTCTGTTGACTTAGTTGGACAGGTCCCTTTCTAACAAGGGGTGTGTGCTTACGAATTATCTCTGATTAGAGCCATGGCAGAAGGCCAAACTCCCAATGCTTTTTTTAGGTTAGCTGAACTTAATTGGAAGAATTCAGCCCTTCGCCTTTACTTAAATGACTTCAAGAACCTAGAAAAGTAAATTATTTCGTAACAGTTTGATATTGCAGAATTACTGAAAACATACAGACTAAAAATAAAGCCCATTAAAAAAAAGCAAATATTTAAAGAAATAACTTTTAGAAATGCATGCCTCATGTACTTTTATTTGGCCCTCATAGCAGAATAACAGATTTGGAGCCTAACGAGATACATTTTACAACACACACTTGGGAAGAGGGACTAGGCTTGTAGTCAAGCTTTTGCATCTTCAACAGAACTATAAACTAAATTACCAAAGCTAATTGGGTACCTGACAATACCTAGGCAAGTCCTTCCCTCTTCTCAGAACCACAGGCTGCTGGAGGCTGGAGGAAGCTCTGGGTTCTTCTGGTCCAACCGCAGCTCAAGCAGGGGCACCTGGTGCTGCTCGCCCAGGAGCATGCATCCAGGCAGCTTCTGAGTATCTCCAAGAACGGAGACCCCACAGACTCTCTGGGCAACCTGTGGCAATGTTTTGCCACCCACACAGCACAAAAAGTGTTTCCTGATGTTCCTGTGTGCCAGTAGGACAAGAGGCAATGGGTATATCACTGGACATCACTGGAAACAGCCTGGCTCCATCCTCTTTCACCCTCCCTGTGGGTATTTATGTACCTTGGTAAAACTCCCCTGAGCCTTCTCTTCTCCTTGCTGAACAGTCCCAGCTCTCTCAGCCTTTCCTCGCAGGAGTGATGCTTCAGTCCATCTTGGTGGCCTTTCACTGGACTCTCTCCAGCCTGTCTGTCTCTCTCTTGTACAGGGGAGCCCCAAACTGGGCACAGAACTCCAGGTGGGGCCTTACCAGTGTGGAACAGAGGGGAAGGATCATCTAATTGCATCTCTGTATGGTTGGACAGTGTCTCTAGATTCCTCCCAGATTACTTATCCCTGTTTCCACTGCCTGTAAAAATGTTTTTTGTATTTGTTTTGCTAGGAGCTTTTTGTTCATGCAGACTCTTGGCATTTTTGCCTGTCTACCCTTGCATTGGGATGGTCTTGAGCTTGGAGGAGGTGATTCTTGAGTATTAACCATCTTCCTTATGCTTCTCTCCAGGCCTTTATCCTCTGAGACTCTTCCAAGTAGCTCCCTGAAGAGGCCCTGCTCTCCTGAAGCCCAGGGTTGCAATCTTGCATTTTACCCTGCTTACTTCTCAAAGGATCCTGAGCTTTACCATCTTATGGCCACTGTATCCATGGCTGCCTTCAACCTTTGACTTTCACATCTCCAACGAGTACTTCCTTGTTTTTGAGTACAAGGGCTAGCAGATCACCCTTCCTTTTTTGCTCCACCACTTGGGTCAGAGAGCTGTCATCAATGCCCTCCAGGGGCTTCCTAGATCACTGACGCCTTGCTGTGTTGGTCCTCCAGCAGATGTTGGCATGGTTGAAGCCCCTCATGATGAGCAGGGTCTGTGAACACGAGGCTACTTCCAGCTGTCGGTAGAGAATCTCATCCACTTACTCTTTCTCGTTGGGTGGCCTACAGCAGATGCCCGATACGTCACCCGTACTGCTCTGCTCTGTAACGCTTACCCTTAATCTTTACGGTTCATCCATCCTGAGGCAGAGCTCCATTCCTTCCAGCTGCTCTCACACAGAGGGTGACTCGACCTCCACGCTGTCCCAGTCTGTCCTTCCTAAAGAGCCTGTATCCCTCCACTGCAACACTCCAGTCATGGGAGCCGTCTCACCTTGTCTCCGTGACTCCAATAAGACTGTAGCCCTGCAACTGCACACACAACTCTAACTCCTCGTGTTTATTCCCCAAGCTGTGTGCACTAGTGTACAGGTACCTCACAGAGGCACCCAGCAAGCTGTATTTTCCCCCACCCACCTCCCTTCCCCATAACAATACCCTGTAGGCATTTCCTTGCTTACACTGCAAATGCAGGAGGTTATCCCATTTAACAGCCTTCTTTTGTTGATTTTGCATTCCCGTTCCTTCATAAAAGGTTAACTCTGTCCACAAGTCCCTCACAAGACTGCTGGTAACTGCTTCTCCCATGCTGCTACTAGTTTAAAGACCTCTTATCAGGCCAGCCGCCCTGCTGGCAAAGACACCTTTGCTCCTCTTAGTGTGGTGGATCCCATCTCTCCCCAGAGCAGTATTTTGTAGACAATTTTTTTACAACTCTTCAGTCATTGTTAGAACTCTTACAATTCTTTAAAATGCACAGCCAACTTTTAACCAGCAGCTTCTGTGGTGTACAGGCACACTGGTCCTTAATTACTTGTGCTGTGACCCCAATAGTCTCTATAGAACTAGCCTCTCCTACTGCTGGTATGCTTTTATACAGCAAACCAAGTACTTCAGCAAGGCTCTATTCAAGGGAACATATGCATAGGCTGTGCACATACATTTATAGATAAAACAGATGTATTAAAATCAGAAGGATTAAAATCAGGAGGCAGCACTTACCCTTTCACCAACAGCATTTGCTCAATTGTGTCAGGAAGAGGCATACCATAACTTTCTGGCAGAAACAGAGTCAGGATTCCTGATAGCACGGTCAGGCTCCCCATCAGGATGTAAGGCAGGAACCTGTCATAGGCACCTAGCAGAATGCAAGAAAAGCAAGCATCAGTTCTAAGTCACTGATACCGTTTGTACCTAGGTACAGCTTTCAGTAAACAGAAAAAAACCCTCTTGGCCTAGCACTCACAGCACATGTTGTTTTAAACATGCTTTAGGAATTCAAAGAATGGGAAACAGTAGTTATGAGAGCTGTCCCTACAGAACCAGTAGGATTGTGAGCACCTTTTCAACAGGCACAAAACACCAATTTCTCTATGTTATGATTGTGCATTGTTCAGATGTCTTGAGATCTCTTTTTTTTTTTTTTTTTTTTTTTTAGCTGCAGTTTCACAAGCCACCTGGATCTGGAAACCAAAGAAGACAGAAAATCCCAGTGACCCACAGAGGTGGGAGGCTGAACTAAGTCAAAAGCACATCTAAAACTAGCACATGGTTGCCAACTTAAGAACAACCCAGGAAACATGGGTAAGACTTGGTAGTTGGTGTCCCGTTACAATGATGTGGAGAACAAGGATCCTGAACCTACAGACTGGACATAAGCACTGGAGTGCTGTGCTGCTGGACAGGCTTCTGTGACACACGTGGTGGTGCGTGCGAAGCTGGGACTGTTCAAGAGTGAGTGCAAGTGAGCAAAACTGATTTGGTTTCATTTTTTTTTAATCCCCCCTACTAGGTCTTCCATTGAGATGCCATTCTGTCATAAGCTTTGCATGCAGCACGAGAACAACGCCTTCCAGCTACCACCATCTCCCCAGCACACGTGCAGACTAGCTAACTTACCAAGGTAAACGAAGTAAGGTGAGAGGATGCTGCCAAGTCTGGAGGCCATGGAGCTTGCTCCAACTCCCATGTTTCTCACCACTGTTGGGTAAAGCTCAGCCGTGTAAACATAAACCATTGAGAAGGCAGATGTGATCCCAAATTTCCCCAACATCACGAGGAGAATAGATACGGCACGGAACTCTGAAATCAAAATGCAGTAACAACTTCTATAAAACTGACAATTTATGATATCTATTAATTCCACTGTGTTTGCATAACTTCTGTCTAATTCCATTATCCAATGTCATTTTTTTCCTGTACATGTCTACAAGCAACATTTTTATTTTTTATTTTTAGAAAAAGAAAGCTAAGAGAAACATGTTGATCTTCCTCTTGAGCATGGGGCTTTCTGCCAGGTTAAAAATAAGTACAACAGAAAGATCTGAAATGGTTATTTCAGATTTCAGAGGCCAGACAGTTGCTATTGTAAACAATGCCATATATTCCTTTTTAATACAACGAGCAAAGTTAAGTATTTGAAACAAGTTATTTTTACTTTGCTGCTCTGGTTTCTCATTAACATTCCCAGCTACCAGTCAATAATTTAATTCTACAGTGCTGGGTTGACTTTAACTAGGACAGTTAGATTTGAAGATCGAAATAGATCATATCAGTGTCCAATTAACTGAAAAGGATTAGGAAAAAAAAGGATGCAATTCATGCATTGCCTGTATAAAATAAGCAAGGCAGTGCTTATTCATTTTCTGTTTATTCTTTGATATGTAAACAAGTGCTAAGCAACAAGCCTTCTCCCCAGTTATACTTGACATCGTTATCAGAAAGAGCCCACAGCCCTCAGTCTAACTGGCCTGAAGATGTATATTGTTTGATATCCAATAAATGTTATTTTGCCCTCCTTGCAGTTGCCAGACATCATTTTACCTATCAACTCTGACTTAGTACAAGCATCTTTGCTTATCAAAAATGCTTCCACAGCAACAGTCTTGAACAGTGACTGTTTAAACGAGCCCTAAGAGTAATCGACAGTTGTTTAGGAAGCAAGTTCTGTAGCCTCCTCTTAACCTCCTGTTAGTCTAGCCCTGGTTTTACACTTGGACTTTACCAGAACACCTTGCCAGGGATGTATGGTAAGGCAAAACCGGACTCCAGTGCTGATCTGAACAGATCACAAAGCAGAAGACCCTCCCTTAAAAATCTGAATTGCTATGTTGTGCGAGCTCCCAGTGCAGCAGCACTGAGAACCAAGGAAGAAGGGCACGGATAGGAACTGAATGTCTATATTTAATCCCCTCAGGATACTTTCCCTCCACATCTGCCCAATGCACAGCACTGGACTTCACCTAGCATACATGTTTGAGATCAACCAATGGTTCCATACGTGAAGGCACCAGCTGAATGAAGAGAAGAACACAGCCTCCCAAGAATAACGCAGCAGCCATTGAATACCGTCGGGGGAGATTTCGAAGCAGCAGCCAGGAAATAATGTAGGCTGGAACTTCAATCACTGCTGAGAGGAAGCAGTTTAAATAGACATCTCCATGCAAGTTGGGTGTGTCAAGAGAAAGTCCAAAATAACCAACAGAGATTATCATCCTGAAAGAAAGAGAAGAACACGATCAGACAGATTGGTCTTCCTCCTGAGGTTGCCGTGAACCTCTTTCCATCTACCAATTGTAGAAATCATGCTGATGGCGAGGGGGTGAGGTTCATGCATGCTTCCTTATTTCAGGTCATCCCTGAGAGATGTGACGTAAGTTCATGATCTAACAATATTATTTAGTTCTTATTATGGGTGGTTATAGCTTTACCATGACAGTCTGAACAACTGAATTCTACAGCTTCTGAGGCCTAGAGTAGCTTCTCGTTATGTTTAGAAGGATACAAGAAGCTCTGGGAGGAGAAAATTGTTTCTGGGTCATTACTCTCCCTGCTTTGTGTATTAAGTCAGGGAGGAGGAGTATGGCATCCTGGCAGACCCAAACAATCAGGGATTTTCTCTGCCATGCCCCACTCCGGCTGGACAGCACCCAAGTCGTGTTTGCATGGCTCTGTGCCTGGGTTGGTCAGGATAACAGGACAGAGCTCGGTGGCTGGCACGGAGCCATCTTAACCGTGTCACTGCTAAACTGCAGCCGGCTTCCCCGTGACCAGGGAAACACACAATTGTCCTTACTGACAAAATCTATGGTGCCGTGGGAGATGCTGGGAAGAAGGTTATGCTTCACCAACAAGCAACAAGGTAAACGAGGTCATTGGATCAGGATGTGTCCAGGTGCGAGTTAGGCACAGAACACTCAGCACTGCCTTTCCTTCAGCACTTATGTGACAGCAGAACACAGAGAAACCTGACTGCACAGCACAAAGTGGATCACTGCCCATAGATTAGGTCTTTTTCCTCCTCACTTCACAATGGAAGAACATTCACGGTCCGGTTACTTAAAATAAGCTGCCTAGTGTACCTGAGGGTAACCCCTCCATTGCTGTGTACGATATGTCAGCTAAAACTAGTTTTGTCCGTACTTCCTCAGAATATCTCAGTGTTCAAAGAGCAGTTTCTTACTGTTTTGCTGCCTTTGTGCTTACTTACTCTCAAATCACATTCTCACTTACCACAAAATCACGGACATAATTGTTATAGTTAGAATATTTCGGGTTTTCATCAGATCCAAAATGGTGTATGTCTGTTGTCTCTGGGAATCCACGTCCTGCAGCTGGAAACAAACAAACAGAAGCACGAAACATTAACATCACGCAAGCAGAATTATTGTGAAAACAGGTCCACTGCCTGACTTGCACACCAGTATTCTGAGTACAGCTGGGTCCATTTCAGTAAGCTGCAGAGCCAAAACAGGTGCCTCGCTTCTAACTAAATGGCTATATAACCACAAGAGCCAAGTATCTGCGAAAGCAGTTGCTCCTTCCTAATTTAAAATCATTTAAAACTTAGGCTGACATTTGTAATCATTTTCTCTGCCTGAGGCTCCATAAAGCAGCTGCTTATTGTTACTTTTATACTTGAATTATAAAGCAACAACATTTATAATTTATATGCCACTGCTGGCATCATTCTTGCATCCAGTTTTGAGCTCAACACCTTCAGCATCATTTAAGTCAATTGCACCCAGACAAGAGGAGAGAAACGAGGATGAGACATTTGAAAAACATGATCAAGTCTGAAAATACAGAGCTTATTTAGCCTGAGGGAGTCTTAAAAGAGCAAGAATGGTTTTCAAAGACCAGCAAAAAAGTGATAAATCGTCTACATCTACCACAGAGGAGGCAAGAAATAACAAGATTAAACTGCAGCAGGATAAATTTAGTAAATGACTCCTCATGCTGGACCTAACAGTAATGTATTTAAATTGAGACAAACTGCTGTGGAGCTGAAGAGTCCCATCATTATCTATCCTGGTTTTGAAATCTCCTTGTAAGAACACAAGCAAAAAGACAACGCATCACTTCTCCCTTCCCCATGAAATTTTTCAGCTCTTCAAAATAAAACCACGTCTGTGTAAACAGTGCAGACATTCTTCCATGAAGCATGCTAACAAGTTTTGTGCTTGATAAGATTATACAAGAGGAAAGATTTTTTTTTTTTTAATTTAGGATTTTAATTTAGACCTCTAAACAATGAGTAACAAGGAGAGATTTTTTAAAATATGTAAAAGGTGATATGAGAGGACAACTTGCATTGATTAAAACAAGAAATTCTGATAAGGCAACACCATATGGCTGAAGAACAATTGTTTTTTCTACATGTGATAATTTGTCATCACAAAAGAAAGTGTATTTTCAGGGTTTGTCAAAGTACTTGCTCCGTTTTATTTTATTTTATTTTTTAAATGGTTTCACAGTAAGAATGTTAGCAAGATTTTGGTCTGACAATCTTCCAGATTTTTCTGTTAGGTGATTTTATATCTATCTGAATCTGCAAGCCTACTAACTATTAGAAACCTACCCAAGAAAGAAACAAGCATCCACTTTAGCAACTCAAAATTATAAAATGAAAAAAAAAACAAACTATTGCTGAAATATTTTTAATTCTGACACTTGTTGAAATGCAAGCTGTCAAGACAGCTCACAACATTTAAGCAACAACTTCTCTCTTCATAACCAGAAGAATCCCTCTTACCAGATAGACCGCTACTATGTGCGAACACAAAAAATATGTACAAAGATTACTTCCTCCTCCGATTTTCCAAGACTCGAGAAAGTCAAATTACACTTAATGTTTAAAGACTGAATGTCTTTTGTTAGCACTGCATACTCCATGGTGTGTGCAAATGATTACAGATAAAAGTGAAGTAAGATTGTAGCTTCAAAATAGCTCACTCGCTACTTCAAGCTTTTCTCAACTCTCTCTCTGCCTGGTCCCATTTAACATCCAGTACTCTACTCTATTAGTTCAGCTTGCAACACTTTTTCCCCTAAATCATCAGGCCTTCCAGGAGAAGAGCTGGATACATTCCAAGACACAACACACAATGAAAAGACAAAAGCAACCGCTAGGTCAACCTAATTCCTCATCAGCATCTCCTCCATATTCAGGTAGGTGATCTTTTGGCAAGTTAATTGCTGGAGACTGATTTAGAGTGCTTAGGGTCTTGTCCCTCAACTCAAAATAATGTATTATTTCCTCTTGTGAACCATCTTGCCTCTGAGCTAATGCCAACAAGCAGTTTATGTAACTTCTGCATCAGGTCAGAGTTATTTCCAAGTGCTATTTTGCTCTGCAGATCTGGAGGATAAAACAGCAGCCTGCTGCTCGTGCACTCCCAACCTCAGTGTATGTGCCTTCGTAAATCTTCATTTATTTGTTCTATTAAAGGCAAGAAGATCTATTAAAGGCTTAACATTTGATCGTTTCCCTTCTTCCCGAGCACAAGGCTCCCACAGCACAGGCTGCAGGCAGCTTTACAGCTCGGGCCCTTTCTCATCCACCACATGATCCTCCTGAAGTACTCTCCAGTTTTGCCACTCCTGGTTGCCAAGAAACCAACAAACAGGAAACAAAAAAAAAGGGAGGAAAAAACAAACAAAGCACAAAACAAAACCAGGAACACTGCAAAAATTTAAACAGTCGATGAGAAATAGGGCCCAGCCTTTTAGCAGCTGTGTAAGCAGACAATACAATCCCCATCCGCGGCAGCAAGAAGCTATGGCAAGGGCAGGGAGGGCAAAGTGATGGGCTGTGAATAAAACTATCACCCAAACAATTTCATTCCCTTCATATTGGATAATCCAACCAACCGGGCTCTATGCTTTGCAGACTGTTTGGGGATAGTCCCCTAATTGTCCTGGACCCTAATTGTTCTGAAAGCTCAGAGCCTGAATGCTGTGGGTGCTGCACCAGTTTGAGGAAAGCTTCAGACAGGAGCCCCTGGGCGCTGCTCCATCCTGACTGCTCATTCCAACTGCGTGGGGCCTCACGGCGAGCCCGGATTTCTGAGAATCGTGCTGCAGTGTAAACACATTTCCTAAAAACTGAGGGGAAGATGCCAGCCTTCTGCTTTACAGCGCTTCAGCAAGCAAACGAGAGAACAGGGTAAACAGGGCACTGAGGAAGAATGGCTTTGCACAGATTGTTTTGTCACAGCATTACTTTTACTTTAAAAAAAAAAGAACAGTTCTGCAGTTAAACAATTACCTGCTAATCTAGCTCATTTGCCTTTGAGCGTTAAACAGCATTTCTGAAAGTTGATGTGCTTGGTTTAATCTTTTTGGCCGTAAATAAGCACTGTGTAAATACCCAGTGCAGCCCTCCCTTCCCCAGGAACACCAGTTCCCTAGTCCTGCCCCTGTCTTCTGCTGCTTCTTCATCCAGCCCCACTCAGAGACAGGGAACAGATCAGTATTTCTTCCTACAAATGGGAGATGGAGGCATTCCAGACGCAGTGACCTTAAGCCAGTGTTGGAGTCAGAGCTCGTTTTCTGTTCTCTTGCCACAGTGCTGGCAGGGGGTAAGTTTTTATCCCTACAGCATGAGAAAGAATGTGGGCGGGAGGAAAAAAAAAAAAAGGGTGTTCTTATGAAAGTCCAGTGAAAGAGCCATCATCAGAGGTCTAGGCTTTCCTGCCATTCTCAGTCTGTTCCAGGAAAACCAGGATGGCTCTCCTGCTATCTACAAATCAGTCTAGATAAACAGGTTTGCCTGTACCTCAGCCACCTCCCAGCCAAATTAAGCTTTTTCAATCTCAATAGCAACAAGTTTGAGTTTAATGGCTAATCATTTTGCTCAGCCTGGTTGAGAGGCCTTGTAAATCAAGTGAACACACAAAGGTAGTGACAATCAATTTTCCTGTCAACAGCTAGACAATGTCTAGTGTCAATAAGAACACAATTGAGCAACCATGCCCAGACAGACTCTACAGATCTCCACATTCCCCCGGATTATGCAAACTATTTGTCTGTCTGATGTGTGAATGAATGTGGAGCTGATTAAACAGCTTAAGGCCACCAACTGCTCAGACAAAGGGGAGATACTCAGAGGAAACAAGAACACCTTTGAAGAAATGGAGTAGTTAACAGCATCTTTTCTTCCTCATCCACTCTAAAGAGGTTCAAGTTTTGATCTCCTCAATACTGAGTGAAAATTGAACTAGAACAGTAATCCCAGTGCCACTGGCCAGGATCAGTTTTATATTAGACTAGGCAAGCATAAAATCTGTTCAGAGCATAACTACTATCTACAGCCAATCACTAGAAAACAGACATTTCTGTCCAAAAAGGTCAGTGTCTAGAGGAAAACAAAGGCTAAGAGACCAGGAGATTAAGTGTTCTCTGTTGGGTCCCAAGACATACTCCTCAACATGGCCAGAGGCTTGAAGGATCAGAATCAAGTCATTTGTCAGCTGCGTGGGCTAAGAAAGCCCACCACATTCTGAGTCCCTGGGATAAACTAGACTCCCTGCTAATTTGCTGACTTCATATGGGATACAGTCAGATACAAAAGCAACAGGTAAATCAAATGCATTACCTGCCCTCAAAATTAAATGGAAATGAGGTTTAAATGGAAAAGGTTTAAAAGGAAAAGAGCTGTCAACTGGATCAAAAACATGTTTGCATTAGAATGTTGCATGGGATTGGGACATCAAGGGTTTTAAAGGGTATTATGCTTTAAGGCATTTCAGGAAAAGGATGAACTTCTACCCATTTGAGAAAGACACAACACACTGCAGGCATAACTCAATTCATATGTTTGGAAATTAACTGTTTTCTGTAATCATTAATAGTTCTAGCAAACAACTTGAGTGCTAAATGAATATTACCTCACTAGGATCAAGTATTACATCTGGGGGTGTAATACCATTAATTTTTGCAGCCTTTCGGAGTATGTCTTCTGCCTCTTGAAACCGTCCCTGAGAGATTAGCCACCGTGGAGATTCTGGAATGACCCTGTAAGAAATGTTCATAATAATGTGTCAGCATTTCCACAGAACGCACTGCTGCAGAGACCAACACACACTGTTCCAGGCCCTGAAGAGCTCAAAACTTGCCATACCTTGCAGAACTTACAGCAAAGGCAATAGAAATCAGATGTACAAGATCTGACTAGCAGGCTGAACAAGAACAGATTAAAATGAGTTCATGGATTTAAAAAAAAAACACTAAGGAGCTGAAGTATGATTCAGAAAATAAGAACAACTAAAACCTTCAAAGTATGGGGAAATGGTTTAATTAAAGAAACTCAGAAATGTGAACACACAAGCAGCATTCTGTACATTAAGAGTATATGCTTAGTGACTAACGCCTATAAAATCAGTTCTTGACTTGCCTGTTTGTGACACTGTTTACAGAAAGTGGAATCTGCATGAGTCATTCAGCTTCATAAGAGAAACTAGATGGAATCAGACACAGTCTGTGTAAGCGAAAGAAACACCACCACCATGTGGACTACTTAAACTTTACATGTCACATCACAGAGGTAGTATTTCACCAATTGTGGATGAAAATATTGCAGTCTCACAGGTGTGCAAGCACTGTTTTACTCCTTGTCTTATCTGTATCACCATACCATTGCCCAGCTTCCCAAAATAACCATTTTTCATTCTGCTCTTAGTCCAGGCCTGCTCTTAAAGTTCACTGATTTTGGTTGATGCAGGAGGATGAGTTTTTGCCTTTTTTTTTTTCCCTCCCTCCTTTCAATAGGGAATCATTTCATTTTCTAGAAGCCTACAGAAAATGAACGCTATTTTTTTCAGACATGAATCAGAGATCAAAGTTGCAGACTTGTAGCTTAATAGACTGGGTACGCTTTTTACCTGCCCAGATCTGAATTTCATTGATAAAGGTTGGCTGGCATCTGGATCTTAAAAATCTGTTGGCAAGACCTTCCTTCTAAAGACTAATGTTTTATAACTTCTTTGAACTCACCACCAGAGTGGGATGCAGAGGAGCCCAGGTAAAGTAAGTGCCAGCAGCAGCATCCGCCAGTCTCTGATGAAGTAAGCGAACAGTGGCAGCAACATGTAGCCAAATGCATAAAATATGCAAACACCTAGTGTGCAGAATAGCACACGGATTGATTTGCCAAGAATTTCCGTGCCTGTTCAAAAAAAAAAAGATTGAAGATTAGTATTTTAACTTAATAGCAACCAGATAACTTACAAAAATTCCTTAATAACTGGCTTTGAAATATACTACATTGGGTAGTTACAGCATATACAGCTTTGCCTTCCAATATTTGAGGCACTCCAGATCTGTTTCATGTCATGATCCTGCATAAACCCAGGTAACTATAAGCACAAAGGGAAGAGAATCAGGCTATAACTGTATTTCTTTAGGTAGAAAGAAATACAGAAGTGTTAGCTACACGTTCTTAGAATCTCCCATTTTACTTGAGGAGCTAAAACCACCTGATATACTACAAAACAATTCTCTATTTTTTTCCTAAATTAGGTTCTGACCTGTATTACCTTCTGAAATTCTTTTCTCTTGCACCTGAAAAACGCAAATCTTTTGGATTATGGAAAATAAAAAGGGCCAGGCTACTGGCAGTAGAATTAAATGAACTATCAGAGGGTCAATGCTTTCCTTTAAAAACACCTTGGGACCTGCAAATCAAGAGACTCCTAAAGAGATAATCTTTCCCATTTCTGCAGAAATCAAAGAAGATTACATAAATTGCAGCAGAATGCACATGTTGATGTTAGCTAAACACTGTTTTCACAGCTGTGCTGGCCTTTTCTAGCCCAAAAGGATTTTCTTGACAACATCTGGTTCTCTGGACAGTGATTGGTATTATTTCCAGTGACTTCATTTTATTGTTTTTGAAATCTCAGATTCATAAGGTAATTCACATTCCCATCAGATCAAATATGACCGTAGTTAACTTGAAAGCAAATGATGTAAGAATCATTACGCCTTTTAATTTTTACCATGGGATGTTTTAGGGATACAGCACTTTCTTTTACAAATTTGTACATCAAATACACATTTATGTCCCATAATGGACAACACAAATCCCTGAAAAATATCATCTTACACATCTTTCCAACTAGAAGATAGATTTTGTTTCAAACGATCAATTTCTGGTTTTTGCCTTTTTAGTAGGGCAAGCTACAGAATTAATTTAGATTGTGCTTCTATCAACTGGAAATTTCCAAAGAGAGCACGAGTTATCCATGCGTGGTGAGAACACGATCTTAATAACAGTGTTGCTTGGCAAACCAAGCCAACACTAAGCCAGTATAAAAAGGAGCAGGGAAGTGCGTAGGACTAAAGACTGCATACTGTGCCCAGCAGGGCTTTCATACCGAGAACAAACGCTGCCACGTAGTTAGATATCTGTCCCATGCCGACCAGCAAAAAGAACACTGAAAACATCTCCCAGCTGGTAGAGAAGACCTGGACGAAGCTGAAGCCGGTCTGCATTGCCATGGTTGCAAACAGCACATTCTTCCTGCCAAACCTTCCATGGAATTAAAGGAAAAATAACAAACAAAAACCCCAAATCATTATACAACAGCATGAAATATACCTTCAGAAAGAGAAAGATACTATTACTCATTTGTATACCTGGGGAGATACAAGATATCTGCAAAAAAGCAAAGTCTGGGAAATATAACACATGCATAACTATCCTATACACCGTTACGAAATCCACTGGCCAAGAAAAAAAATCATATTCTTATGGTCACAGAAGAAGTCATCTTTAGGTATGTGCTGTAACGCTCTTCCTTCCTTTGGGATAGGATGAGTAGGAAGACAAATCACTGGGACCAAAATTATTTAAAATGTAAGAGCAGGAGTAGATGTTCCTCCTTCGAGCAGCACAGAGTTCATTACACAGATCAGCATGTTACAAAAAGAAAAGGCCAGAAAGAGGTAAAGCTCAGGTTTGTTAGATGTTACTATCACTAAGTGGAAAAAAAAAGGAAAAAAAAAAGTTTGGTAAAAAAAGCAACCTAATTTAAGGGATCTTAGCAGTTCTGATGGACTGAGGCACTATGTAAAAGGGAAAAGGAAACAGAATGGATGCTACAAAACTGGGAGCATGGGGATTACATCTCAAACAGAAACTCTCCAAGCAAATTGACTAATCAGAGGACCACGTATTGTTCCCCAGGAATCGGTACAATTGATGCACTGCACAGCAGATCTCAGGGTGATAACCAGGAAAAAAAAAAAAACAACACACAAAAACCCCACCATCTGCAGAGAAATTTAAGGCAGCTCCCATTCTGAAATGTTTGCTGGAGCAGAGCCGAGCAGCATTCGTGCTTTCCAGCTTCCACATACACAGCTCACTGGACTCAGATGTTGAGTCTGAAGAAGCGAAGCTCTAAGTGTTGATAAACAGAATTTTAAATTTGATCTCAGAACTGAGGGAAACAAGCCTCAGGAATCTCCCTGAACATAGTCCGAAGTAATTAGAAGAGAACATTATGGATTTTTCCATATGTATCTTATCTCCTGCACCTGTTTTCTGGTGTAAAAATAGTTTGCTGCAGAAGTGATTTCTCTGAAAAAAATAATCAGGTAAAGGTAACACCCGCTAACAATCCTTGTAATGCTCTGGTCTAAGGTAAGACATTTACCCCACACACTGAGCGCACTCGGATGGGACAGCCACAGAATTAAGATGTGTTAGTAGTTGCAGAGAGACACTTAGAGCAAACTTCACATACAAGAATTGCTTGCAAAACAGTGTCAAGGAGCCAGCAAGTTTGGTGTATATACTTTACTTGTCTGAGAGTTGTCCCGAAATGAAAGATCCAAGCAGGACTCCCACAAAAAACAAGGAGGTACTCAGGGGGCCCTTCCAGTCGTTGTCACACACGAGGTTCCACTGCAAGGAGAGAGAACATGAAAGTCTTCCAACAAACAGCAATCCCCCCTCTCCTTCCATGTACAGCTCAGCCCAGATGAAAATGTACCCTTTGGAAAGAAAACCTCCACAAAAGAAACAAGCAGCCAACCTACAGAACAGGTTTAGCTCTACAAAAACATGAGTTTGGGGCATGATCACTCCCACACATACATGTAGCTAACAGTTTCCTTGTGCTTGCCTTCAAAGGCTCTGCATGCCCCTCAAGCAGCTGTTTGAGAACAGACTCGAAGCTTTAGTTTCCTGCTGACGGGGAAGTCCTCTGTTAAAAATTTACGCTTCTAATTTACGAGGAATTGAACTATACAATCAGAAGTACAGGAAAAAATGCCTCCTCTTTATTATATTTTAATATGGCTTTGAGAGAGACTGGAGATCCGCTGCTTGCTGGGGACCTAATTGCAGATCGCAGCTCGTTACGCAGCACGGGACTGCAGCAGACACCTGCAAAATCCACGTTCAAGTTATTTGGGAAAGTGTCAAGTGCAGTCTTTAGAATACGAATTGAAATACGCACCAAGCAAACTGAGATGTCAAAAATGAAAACAAATCTTGGCAAAAAGAGGAGGAAATAAAGACACCTATTAAACGAAGACGGCACTGGCTTGCCATCACTTCCTGCTTCACTCTGATGGTTCTGAAACAGCGGCCGTGTTATTTTTGTATCAGTGTCAACAGCTATTACTGAGAGTCTATAATTTTGTTTGGGTTATTGGGGAAAAAAAGCGTGTAAATATTAGAAGAAAGGACAAAAACAGCAGGGCTGCCTCCTCGTCCCTTCCCTCACTGCTGTGCTATGGCCTGGAGCAGCTCCCAGCACCCCCGTCCTGCTCTCGGGGGGCAGGAGGTGACGCAGCCCCCAGGATCTGGAGGCACCCAGCACTTCTGATGTGCAGCCAAACCCTGCCAGCCTCCGTTATTCAAACACCCCCCACAGGGGCCCTTTCAGCGTTTTAGTGATGGAAATTTTTTAGTTTCCACTTTGCACTGCAGATGAAAATATTTACAGGTTGATTTGCAGGTCAAGACGAAAATATTTACACTGAGCATAAAACTAATCCCCCTCAGCCCCAGCTTATGAACAATTCAGTACTGGGCGTTTCACTCTTGGGGTTTTTTGTTCCTTTGTTTTTAAAATCTGTACTGGAGCAGCTCTCAAAGCTTTGATCTGCCTCGTAGGAAACCAGGCTGCTGGGGTCCCGGTGTGCCGAGGGTCTGCCATACCATAATGCCAGCATCTATTTGCCAGCCATATGTTGAATGCCCACAGGAAACAGCTTTTTCCTTCTCTCTTTCAGGGTTATATCTTTCACACCTTCTTGTCTCCTTATCGTTAAGCCTTTGGATGCAGGAAGCTCACAACCCTCAGTTTTTCATAGCTCACCATACCATAGTGCACATTTTAGGGCTGGGTAATCACTGCAAGTCACTGACTGGACACTGCTGTCTGTGCCTCTGAGATCCCCAGGGCAGAAACCAACCGAAACAACCTCTTGTTTCATGGAATAGCATCTAGTTTTGAATTACAAGAAGTTTTCCTAGAGATTAATTATCCTCCTTCCTAAAGACTTACTCTCACCTGTGTTTGTGCAACTTAAGCCGCCAACCATTAGACTGTCTTAATTATAATCCTTAGAGATGAAGTCGTATTTGTTTAAGGTCACAGGAGCAAGCAGAACACACCTTTTCCCTATTTGTAACTGTATTCAAGTCATTTCTTAACCTCTCCTTTGATAAATAAGACCGTGGTTTTCTTTGTCTTCTATCAGACTTCGCAGTCCTCAACCTCACTCTTACATTTATTCCCAAAGCCCTTCCAGTTTCACACTGCCTGCAGAAGGATGTGCACTCAATAAAGAAATAGGGTCCAAGAAACCCTACCGACACCATCAGCATCATTACCGAAGCTCCTTTTAACATTGTGGTTTTCTAATATGCCACCAAATTTACATCATCCTTGGAAGAGATTTAACTTCACTGGGACCGAAGGGAGCAGCATGAAGCCATGATGGGGGCAGCTCAGGCTGGGTGTTAGGAGAAGGTTTCACACCAAGAAAGTGGTCGGGCACTGGGACAGGCTCCCCAGGGCAGCGGTCACGGCATCAAGCTGCCAGAGCTCCAGAAACATTTGTACAAGGCTCTCAGACACGTGGTCTGATTTTGGGGTGCTCCTGTGCAGAGCCAGGAGTTGGACTTGATGACCTGTGTGGGTCCCTTCCAACTCAGATGTGATTCTATAGTTATCAATATCATGTAGATTAATAACCATAATTAACGTATTTATGATTAAATCTGTGTTTATTCAACAAACACTTCATTCCTTGTAGACTAAAGAAAGTTTGAGCGACTCTCTGATGACCTTTCACAGAGCCAGATCCAGCCAAGAAGCTTTGGCAAAGCAGCTCCAGGACACTGTAAATTTGATAATGATCGTTTGCTGCATATTTCCACAGAACAGAGGTTTCTGTGGTTGTTGTGTCTTCACGCGACATTTATCAGGAACTCAACCACCACTCCCAGCAGGCATCCTGCAGTAACAGACTCGCCTACTCACCCCTTTCCAGCAGCCGCAGGAACCAGACATCCTTTTCAGTGGACAGAACTGAAGTCGAACTAGCCAAACAGTGAGCCCGGTGATTTACAGTGTATCGTTCCTAAACAAGTCATTATTTCCCAGCTGATCACTCTGTGCCTGTGAATGAGCCGCCTCCTTTCAGCCGCCCTCCGCTCTGCACTTTGGCACGCAGGTTGCACAACACTTGGCTTGCCAGACACTGGCGTGTTTGTGCCCGGTAACAAACATTTTCTTATGAGCGCTGAGGCAGAGACATTGCTTGGAAAAGTTCATGGTTATAAAATGCCACAGTGCCCTGCCAGAAGCTTCTTGCGTTGGCAGGTGGAAACATACTGGTCCTTCGGACGCTACTCTGATTACCATCTTGTTTTCCTGTGCCTCTGTTAACACGGTTTTAGGAGCTGTTATGCTGAAGAGCACTCGAACCAGGCACCAAAGCAAACTTCAATATTAAATTTCCAAGGGAAAACTACCTTGGTTGTGCAATACCGCTTATTTATAGCCATGAACTCCACGTGCACAACCATTGAAGCAGACATTAAGGTCTGTTTCCTCTCACCCCCGCCAGTAAACGTAGGCTGAAGTGCTTGTCTTTTCAACGCCTCACCAACCAGGTCTTTTACTGCTTGTCTGGGATGGGGGCATCGATCTCCCAGAGCCACTCTGCATGCACACCATTCCCTGAAGTGCACATTGCCCAACGAGTCACTGAAGCATCACTGCTAGGAGGCCAGCACTGCTCGGAGCAAGGATCCCGAGTAGTTACTGATTGAATCCTGCTGCTGGCGGAGCTGTGTGAGCACAGTACACCGTGACCCAGTGCTCTAAATCATGTGCTAGTTTCATTTCTTTGTGTTCTTGGAGTGAGCCTGCTGGATAGCATGGCCTTTGTCCCAGTAAATAAGATAAGGCTAACCTCAGCAAGGTACTGTGGCTCCAAACAGGAGAAAAACCCCATTTCAGCCCTGTTTCAAACAGCACCTACTGACACTGCAAAGTGCCAAGCTCCTGAACACCAGTGCCCAATGCTCGTGCCCTGACACAGAGCTTTCTCACCACCTTTTATTTTAATAACTTTGGAAGAGGTCATCCTCTGGTGCAGTTTAAACCTATCTCCTTACCCAAGCAGCCTGCAGGTCCTTTGGCTGGGGGGTAACTACTTTCTGAAACGTTTCTCAGGTCAGGGCGATCCTTCCTCTGCAGCCTCACGCCCAGCAGCAGTAACTGCTCACACGCTGGGATCTACAGCAATCGCAATGAAATTCACACCAGCCTGCAATCACAATGAAATTCAGACTCCTCCAAGATGAAATTTGATCTTTTTAAAGTTGAATGTTTCTGTACAGTCTTCTGCAAAGTGAAAAATAAAGGTACCAAACTAAAATTGCCAGGCAAGTTTAGGCAGATGCCCCAAGTCCAGCTGATGATATTGCCACACCTCAAACAAAAAACGTACTTCTGAATTCTCTAGCCCTTCAAAACCTCCAGGAGGCAGACTACTATTTTTATTTTTTTTCTGCATGCAGGCTCTGCATCCATTGTGCTAGCAGAATACCACGTGCCCTGAAAGGAGAGCTGGCCGTTGATGAATTACTAGCACTGAATCCCACACTGGCTCTTATCCAGACACTGATGCAGACCCCTCATCCCATGTAACTTTCCCTGTAATTTAGTTATACCATGTTGGAAAAGATAACAAACAAAACTCTAATTGCTAATGACAAGATGCCCATCATATTTAAGCATAAAATTTGCCCAGTATTTGTAATGCACTAGAACATGGAAACTGCAAGTCTAATTATGGGGAAGCTCTACAGAGCACCAGAAGTTGTTGTGGTGCAGCATCACAGCAAGCAAATGCATACTGCCACCAAATACTTACTGCTAGCAAACACATTTGGAAAGTTACAGAAGTAATTGTGAGGTCAACAATATAATTTGGGACCATGGTGGAAAAAAAGCATGTTTCCCAATGAAAAGAGAATTATTCCACTGCAGGAGCACCTGTACTTTCCTGATACCAGTACTAGAATCCTACACAAATGACTACAGCAAATACTAAAAACTTTGGAAGCCTTACCCAGTTACACCTGTTGTTATATAAGGAAAAACCTTGCAGCTACAGTGCAGTGTCCTCTTAATCCTTTTTTTTTTTTTTTAAAAAAAAAAAAAAACACACTTCTGTTGCTGAGAAGAGCATGCATGATTGAAAAAAGAAGTGGGACGGTCTCGTGTGCTAATATTTGCTTTTTAAAAATCAACATGTTAGCAAGAATTCTTGAAGCTAATCCAACATAACATGCTCTCTCCTACCTGTTGTTTCTCTCTGTAAATCAAGGCAGGTTCTTAAAAAAAATAAAAAATAATCAAATCCCAGTCTCACAACTGAGCACTTACAATTGATGCAGAACCTGGCCTTGTTTAGACTCCTATAAATATTCTCCACTTAGCTGAGAGCTAAGGGCATTATTAAACACCCTTTCCTCTGAAAATACATTTGTATATTCCAAATACTTGGAGGTTCTAGATATTCTGTCACAGCTTTTAATCTCTAAACAGAAGTTTGCATCTACAAAACATTCCTTATGCTCAATTTCTCCCCTTGTAATTCTTTTTGAGTTTTACAGAGGTAAACTGAGAAATGAGCTGATTTTTAATCCAAAATTAAAGACAAAATAGGAACAATACCCTGTAACTAATTTCCAACAGTACCTCTACATTAGCATTGTTTAGATTTTAATTATAGGAACTACAAGTCTATTATTCTGTAAAAATACTGACCCTGTTTTACGTTCCAAGGCTAGAAATGTTTACAAGCACAATTCTGAAGAGTCCTGTTACGTGCTTCTTAAATTATACCATGAAAACCTCATCATTTTTAAATGATCTTAGTACATTTGCCAGCCATTCATTCCCACTTCTGAGCTGAAAAGTACACATTTTTCTTTCAATGACTATTAATACTAAGATTTTGCATCCATTAATCATTTAAAGTCTTAGCTTTTTAGTTAGTGCTTAGCTCTGACACTCACAGCTTTGCCAGCTCGTAGCCATCACTACTAACTTCAGCCAGAAGAATATGCGGATGTTAACCTGCAGCAAAAAAAGAGGATGCACTGCTTTTAACAGATGAAAAATGGTGGAAGTCCTGATGTGACTTCTTGCCTCTGAGGACACTGCACTAACATGATTGAAGACGTCAGCCAGAGCTGAACCTGGACGACAGGGGTTTGATTTATGCTTCAGCTGCTGGCTCCCCTATTAGAAAAGCTTGTGGAAATGAAGGTTTCTATCACAAGTCTGTGCTTTTATTTTGGGTAACGCAGCCCTCCTTGTCTCCCACCAAAAAGGGAACATCAGAACCTCGTCACACAGCTGCACTACAGGGCCCATTTGTGTCATTCCAGCTGTCACCACCACAACTTCCCCTTGTTTCCTGCAGGTCTGGCACAGCTTCAGTGCAAGGGTCTGACAGCCACCTCGATGTAAAGGTACCGGAACACTCAGGGCCCTAAGACCTGCATGGGAACTTTCTTTCTGTGTTCTTACAGGGCCCAGAGCTCCAGCACTACACCAGGCCTCAGGATGCTTCAGTAATTCCCAGGGTAAGCATCCTTCCTCTGAAAAAAAATGAAACGTGTTAAGACTGCAAGAGGCATAAAACGTGCAACTCTGGAGTACAAAAGGATGCCTGCATTGAACTGACTTTAAATTGATAAACAAACATATTTCTATAATTAAAAAATATATATAATAAAGATGCATACACAAAACTCTGCACCTGTTTAAGTTTCAGTCTGTAGGAATCACTCCCACACTTCAGTACATGAGAGTACTCCCAAACTAAAATGTTTTACTCACTGTGTCATCTCGTATATCCTCATTATATCATTTTTTCTAGTCTATTAGTGCTCAAATTCACTGCTCAGTTCTGTTCCCAGTTATTCAGTATAGACCCTAACCAAACACTAAGCTTTCGTAGACATGACTGGGAGTTAGCCTTTTCCCTTAATTACCCCAGTTTATATATCTTTCAGTCCCATATATAAACGTTTATTGTGATTACATTCTTTTTTTTATGGGACTTAGGGAGGAATAAGAATGACACAGATGGTTACTCTGACTAAAGGAAAACTTTTCATACCCCTCAAGCCACAGTATCTCAAGAAGTAAAAGATGAAAAGGGATTTTGTTCCTGGTTGAATACTCCAGACTAGCTAATGGCATTCTGCTGTTAGTCTGCTTGAAAAAAGAAAGTTCCCCTTCAACTGAAGAGAGAACTAAATGTGTTAAGTCTTCCTTCAAAAGCAGAAACGTAACTGAAGGCTTTCTCTAGAGTCATGAGAGATTTGTGCAAAAACCTTTCATAAAAAAATTCCCCCTTCCCCCTCCCAGTGTCAGCTACAGAAATCTGGGACAAAGGTCCTCATGACTATTCAACAAGTTAGAGATATGCAACTAAAGGCAGGATTAGTGAATCATAAAAGCAGCAGCACCAAGCCAACAAATTAAACAAGTTTAACACCGAAAACCTGTAAGTATGTGAAAGGTCATGGCTGTTGCAAAACTGGCTCAGAAACATTAATATTAAAGGGAAAAAATACTGCCTCGGTGCACGATGCCCGGGCAGCCAAACATCACCTCCCCCAGACGCAGCACATCTGCCAAACCGTACAGCCACCGGGTGAGAGCTGCTGCAGAGCCTCACCGAAATGTTCGCAGCTTCTGTTCCCTACAGATCATGAAGCTGCCGGAGGATACTCCGAGTTCGGATGTTGTGACTCGCAGCCAGTCAAAGCTCAGTGAAGAAGCTGCAGAGACACAAAGCGCTGACAAAATATGCCTCAGCCAGGCCAACCTCACTATCAGGGCACTCAGGACAAAACCACTATGTTCGCCTGTGAATGGCCTAAGTCTAGAAAATGCAAACTGCCTTATGCTGTTTTAAGACTGCCTCAGCTTTTCACAACCATACATTTCACTAACGACCAGGATCTAGAAATTCAGAGCAGTTTTCCTCTTCATGAAGAAAGCAATTCTTCTGTAACAGGTGAGGCAATGCCTTGTGCCAGCTGTCAAACGCAACCCAAGCCCCGAGGATGTGCATGCTCAAGGGAAGTTTTCGACAATTCACGTTTTGCCCTGTCCTTGCTTCCCTGTGCTCCCTTCCTCACCCAGCTTCTCCTGACGAAGGCTTCTGCGCTCAGATCAGCTGGTGGTCATTAAGCATTTGAACATCCATCACCACCATCCTTGCAAAGCAAGGAATACAGGCCTCTGAGCAGAAAATAGCTAGTTCTGTAAAATTTGTTCCCAGCTACAAAGAGGAAATTGGACCATACAAAAGGTTTACAAGCCTTATGAAAAAAAGCCAAAAACTCTCTACATTTTGAAATTTAAGTATTTCCTTGCATCCTAAGACACCAGTGCCTGTGGGTCTGTCCGCACAGCTTTCCTCTGACCCAAGGACAACCAGCACAGCCTCACGGAGCTCGGTGCCCTGCCTGCTGGTGGGACACACTGGGGTGGTCAGGATTTGGCCCATTCCTGGCAGGTGAGCGGGGACACAAAGGCAGCGGGCAGGTGCAACGCCAGCACATAGCGAAGTTCAGCTGCTGTTGGACACAGCATCAAAACAGCGCCTTGCTGCATCCTGCTGATGAACCCTGCACAACTCAGGATGACTTTTATCGACTTATTTTTTTTAAAGAAAAAAAAAGAGGTGGATGTCACGAGTTCAGAGACATCTTTGAGCTACCAAGCCCATGGTGCTGGGTTGACCTGTCCTCCCTACGGTAGATAAGCTGTTATCAGACGGAAATCATCAAGCAGTGGATGCACACACACCACCTCGGTTAACACACAGCACCTGGAGGCTACTCGGGCCACTGGCAGCTGCCAGCACAGACCAGCTCAGCCTCCCCACCTCACCGGGAGCCCCTCACCTCGGTGACGATGGTGGAGCGGTAGACGTCCCGGCTGTACTCCCAGCCGTCCAGGCACGGCTCCTGCTCCAGCTCTCCCAGCTCCACGTCGGAGCCGGGCCGCAGCCCCAGCGCCGAGAAGTTGGCGAGCGCGGCCAGGCGGTAGCGGCGGCAGCGGCTCGGCTCCTCCCGGCCGCCGCGCAGCTCCAGCGGGATGCTGGCGTTCAGCCACTCGCCGCTCAGGTTGGCTTCGCGGGGCACGGCGCAGCGGTGCGCGGGGGTGCCGGCTAGGAAGACGATGGAGAGCCCGTTGAAGCCGTTGGGGATGATGCTGGCGCTGAGCAGGAAAAAAACGAGGCGCTGGAAGCGGCCCCATTCGCCCAGGAAGGCGGACACCTCCTCGTAGTCCCGCATGGCTCCGCCAAGCTGCGGCCGCCGCCGCCGCCTGCTACCCGCGGCCAGGAAGCGGCCGGGCCCGGCCCGCCGAGCTCCGAGCCATGGGGCCGGGCCTCAGCCGCCGGGGGAGCGGCCGGGGGTGGGGTTTGCAGGCGGAGGGCCCGCAGGTGGGGCCGGGCGCCGCTGCCGCCGAGGCCCGGCCCAGCCCGGTGCGGCCCGGCGGAGGCCGCCCGGCAGCTCCCCGGCATGGCGGCCGCATGGAGGCGCGGCGGGGGCTCGGCCGCTGAGGGGGAAGGACGCGGGCCCGGCTGCCCCTGAGGCGTGGGGCCGCCCGTTCCGAGCCACACGTGTCTAAAAGTGTATAATAAAGCACGCATGTAGTACAAGAGCGTCTATTAAATGTAAAATCTGTACTCCTGTGGTTGTTTTCGCACTAATAGTCAGCCAATACCACAGCGCGGCTCCCTCACACACCCTCCTCAAAGGGAGATGAGGACAAAAAGCACAACGGGGAAGGGCTCAAGGGTCGGGGTTGCTCAACCGGTTACTGTTATGGGTAAAACAGACAGAGTAGGGAGAGTAGCGTCATTTATTGCCTATTGCTAACAGAGCAGTGAGAACTAAAAGGAAACTAAAAGCACCTTCCCCCTGTCCATCTGCTACCTCTTCCCCTTGAGCAGCCCAGGGGAATGGGGGCTGCGATCAGTCTGTAATGCTTCTGAGCTCCTTGCACAGGGGCTGCCTTCTTACACTGTGCTTGGCCTCTGGTCTGTACCTGGCATCTGGACCTGCATGTTTTGGGCAAGCTGAAAAGCAAAGGAGCTTTTACAGGTCTCCACGAGGAGCCTGGCCCAGGCCCGTCTTGGTGGCATGTACCAAACAGAACCACTAAAGCTTCCTCACTAAGGCCTAGCTTTGGGTCCTTCCCCACGTGTGAGCCTTGACCGATTGTTTTGTTCTTAGTACAGTCAAAGGAAGAGAGTTAAAAAATAATATTCTATTCCCAGGCCAAAAGAATCATATTGGCATTGTCAGGATGACAGGACGATTCTGTCTGCTATAGAGCTCTGTTAGGAAGCCACATGATTCACACTTCTGCCTTTTTTTTTTTTTTTTGTTTTGTTTGACATTTTCTCAGTTGGAGGTTGATACCTCCAACTGATAAAAGCCAAAGGAATACCACGTATGGCATTCTTGAATGCGTGTAGTGAGAAACTAACATCTTCTGGGGAAGAGCTTATTTATGGGCTTTGTTTTCATACCTTATCCATGCTAAATACATTATAAATTACTTCTTTAAACAGCTCTGCAAGTGTTACATTTAGAAGACTTTATTCTTCCATGACAAACCACAGAGAAAGTAGGTTACACAATGCCAGTGCACATTTTTATTACAATAAAGACAGCAGTTACCAAGCAACAACTACTACATTTGTACACATGCTTTAACAGATCCAATAAGCCCACGTCAGATCTTACTGAAGATAAGAGGTTACACAGACAGAACCAGGTAAATGTGACAGAGGAGAGAGCTGAGGCACAGTGCAATCAGTGGGAGAGATCCAGTCGTGCTTCCCTCCCATCTCCGAGTCAGAGCTGTACATACATCTGCCAACTGCACGTGAGCATGCAGGTCTCATCATGAGCCCCACCGAGTGTCTGACAGAGAAAACTCGCTGAAGATTGCAGTGAAAGTCTTAAATTGCTCACCAGCAACACATTTATTTCCTGCCAACAGCTACTAAACCAATGCTGTTTTCTTCAGCTGTACAATTAAAAATTCAGTAACTACGTCAGCTGAAGCAATCTCCTTTTCTCGTTTTGACTGTGCTCTGACACATTAAGTCCTTATAACAACATCACATTCTTGTCAGAGGTACATTCCACTCACATAGGATTTTTTTTTTTTTTTAAATCTGCCAATACTAAACTGTGACACTAGCTTTGGATGAATGGTATAAACAGGAAAAATAAAACTGATTAAAACAAGGTATTTCAAAAAATCACAATCCTTTTTCTTATTTAAAAAATTAAAATTAGGTTTTAAGATACTACAAAGTTTAAGAATATAAAAATATTTACCTTTAGAAATACCTAGGCCTACAATCACATAAAATAAGTATGAACTTAATATAAAAATCTTCATAAAAACACAGCCACCTATATTTAACTAAGTCCTCAAAGCTGATATAAAGGTTTTGTTCAGAAATCTAGTTATGTCTAAACAGCTATTCTAGAGATTAACTTTGTAATAAGACAAGATTAAATACTGTTGTTATTAGAGAAATTCCAGTTTGAGAAGGGATGAGAACATCTGGGGTCATTAGCCTTATGCCACATTACATTCGTGGCAAAAACATGACTTCAGAACATTAATATTAAAGGCAGTAGAATTCCCACATCCCAAAGAGCAGCTTGAAATGATTGCACACGTTCCTTGCATTTAAATGTTACAAAGCTTTATATATGTGCTCGAACTTACAGGGAGGTCCTCACTTCTGTGCCAAATGCCAGCACAAGACAAATTGCCATGAATTCTCACATTAAGAGATGAGATACTGCTTTTCTTGGCCCTTACAGAATGTGAATCATGGCTGGTAGTTATTTCTAAATGATAAAAATCAGCCTACCTGTTCTAGGTAGTCTGGCTAGGCTGACAGACTTTATGTGGCCAACATATCCATGCACAACCAATAAAAAAGACCTATTGCAAACTGTGTAGTGTTCATAAAACAGTAGTAGCACAAATCTGAGCTCTACTACATGTGACTTTTCATCTCACCTAGCTTTGCTGTACTTTAAAAAAATGCATATATAACGTGTAGGATTTGAAAAATAAAATACTGGCTTTGTTGGCATTCTTTGTTTTGAAAAAAATATATCTGTGGTCCCAAATCAGCTCTTCTGAGTTCTTGCTAGCTGCAGGTAAACAACTCCTGTGCAGAACATCAGATTTTTGTAAGCATCAATCCCCTCTAAATTTGTAAATCGTACAAAGGCTTTTGCAGAGGCTTTAAAAACTGAGATGAGCTTTCTCTGAAGGTAAAGCACAACGTAGTGTGTATTCAAAGGAGAAATGAAATGCTTTGAAAAAAAGACAAAAAGATTCAAAAAGCTGCTTGTGTCAATATACCATGAAAACCCCCAAAGCTAACACTGCAGAGCATATTTGAATTGGATCATTTACTTGCTGAAGTCTGTGTTTCATTTGAAAGTGGGCACGGCCCATCAGAAGTAGGTCAGCAAGCTGGGGTCCTCACACAGAACATTCATGAAGCCCAGTGATTTCAGCAGGCTTAGGCTTTACAAAAAAAACCATCAACTTTTACAGGGACAAGTGGATCAAAAATGGGAAACACACATCAAAAGCTACTCTGTCTTGTTTAAAAAATGTTACTGTTTTTAAAACACTAATGTTATTTATATTATGTTTTTTTAAACAAAAATGTTATTTCAGTGATGTCTACATGTGCTTTGCTACAGCTAAACTCGGATTCCACCGAGACGATCAGGCTTTGGTTACAGGTTTCAAACAAGGCTGGGGTCTTTCCTTTAGATACGTGTGCTGAGATGTTCGGTGACAGACACCCAGCTCCCCTTCATCCAGTCAGCGCACACAGCAAGAGAAACCACCAGCATTACATTTGCTACCTTCTTTTTTTCCTTTTAGCAGCTTTCATTGAGTCCATGACCGAGTAGAGTCATAGCTGTATTCCTGCTGCTCGAGTCACGCGTAGTACACGCAGACCTCTGTTTTTCAGCAGGGACTGGACCTGCTGACACACTCCGGGAATCAGGACACAATCACAGACTAAGAGTCCTATGGAGCAGACAGCATCTGTTCGGTAAACTGGGTATTTAGCTACAGCAGCACAGGGGATAATAACTATGGTGTGGCAGCACTGACTGGCGGGTTTTGCACCTTGTTCTTTCAGCCCTGATGAGAGCATGCATCCATCTTCACATTGGTGTTACCAAAATTTTAGGATTCTTCTTGGAATTCCTAGCTCCAGTGGTTTGTTGCCCATTTCTGAAACTGAAAGCAAGTGCGAGACTGAGAAGCTGGAGAACATTTTACAGACACTTACCCCTCCTAATCAGCACTGCTAAAATAACCAGGTTATGGTATTTATATAAACATTGGAAAAAAACAATGTTTCCTCTCTGAAGTATGCCCTTCTGCATGGAAGAAGCAATGCAGCAGACAACATTTAGAACTTGAATTTAATTCAGTGACTGTAATTCAGTTACTTCCTTCTGTTTATACAGGCAGTCTCCAAAGTGAATGTGGTTGGTCTCCAGGACTTCCAGCTACAATTCATCAACTGCAGAGCTAAAAAGCTATGGGTCAGATATTTGAGAAGTCCCTAATTGTCATAAATAGCAGCGTGCCCTTATCAAGGAACCTGGCCTGAGAATTCTTCTTATTCTGAAAGCATAATGACAGCTCCGTTACTGACCCCAGATTAGATACAGGCAATTCAAGATTATTTTCTTTTTTATTTTTTTGGTTACGGGCAAATTCCATTCACAATACACACTCTCACTAAGGCGGGCAGTATTTATGCATTTGCATTTCAGCTAATTCAGTTTCCCTCTACATGAGTTTTCCTGCCCACAACAGCAGCTAGCAAACTCTGTCTCCACTGCACTTGCACTATAATGGATGACACAGATTTCAGGGGGCATATTTGCTCAGAGTACCCTAAATAGAATCTGGTGGGGCAGGAGAACTGTTGTTGTTTACAGCTAAACCAGCCAAACAAACAACCAGGAGAAAGAGCTGTGCTGGTGTGTCTCTAACCTCCCAAGGAAAAGAAGCTAGAATATCAAAAGCCTGTGCTTAATTTAGAGTAGCACCTAACAAATTTATACTGAAAGAGAAAAGTGTTTTGTAAATTGTCCTACTAAATGGCTAATTTAAATGCAGAGTTAAGGAGAGGGACTTATATCCGTGTTGCTAAGTAACTTACTCCTGGAAGGGAAAAAAAAATTCAACAAAAAACGCTTGATGTAAAAGGATGGAAAGCATTGGGAGGCATGAAGCAGCAGCCCCAAAGCAACGTGAAGGTCAGCCTTGGTTTGCACGTGTCCATGCAAACCAAGCACGTCAGCCCTCAGGTTCAGAGACTCTGGGGAAACTGTACAGTGTCAAAGTCTGTAAAATTAACAACAAATCTAAAGGGCGCTTTGAATGTTTTGATGTTTTGCAATGGAGCTGATGAAATGTTTGCTGATTGTGAAAAGGGACTATGTACAAAGAAGCCCCCAATTCCTGTGAAGTGTGGGGTAAATGAAAGCCGACTTACCATTTCACCTTCAGCATTTGCTCAAAGCTCTCAGGCAGAGAATTTCCGTAGCTCTCTGGGAGGAACAGGGTAAGGATCCCTATCAGCACGGTCAGGCTTCCCATGAGGATGTATGGTAGGACTCTGTCGTAGGCACCTGGCAGAGCACAGGACGTAACAACATTGGTTTATATTCCAGACATCACTGCAATGCAGAATTAATTTGGAATAATTAGCTGAAATATTTATAAAATGTCAAAGGTGAATCCAAACTGCGTTACATACAGTATCTGCCAGCAAAGATGGAGACTTTTTGATTTAAAACTATAATGTATGCTCAGTGGTGATCACCACCTATCACCATCCCATGCTACACCCACGTTTCTGTAGCAGCCAATCGCTTTTTGTACATTTTCAACTGGGATAGCCAACATCTTTGCAAGGTAGCAGCTCTGCTGGGATCACTGCTGAAAGAAGCAAGTCTTCAGTACTGGGTTGCCATCTGGAACCAAATCCTCAGTGAAATAATTCAATGTGAGAGATGAAAGTGCTCATAAGCAACTGAGCACTCAGCTGTCCGGGACTGAGCATCCCGCTGGTGCCCTGCAAAGGGTGGGAACTGACTAATGGCAGCTGGACAGGCCAATTGCAGACTAATGGACCATTAAATGAATGTGTGTGTATCCTCCTTTCTGGACGTGGAGAAGGCATCAGCCTGCAGTGACACAAGAGGCTCTGCCCTTGGTCTGTTCAATTTCTGGTTTTGGATGAGAAAGCAGCGGCCCCTACCAGCAGCCTGCAGCCAGTGCACACGTGTTCAGGCAGGATGTCAGACTTTCAGATCACAATAGCACAGAAATTAAAAGGTCTTTCAGTGAAGGGATAGCTAGGAATTAAAGTACTTAAGGTGGAGAAAGTACCAAACTGAACTTGACAGCTCTATTTTTCACTTGGGATACAGCAGCATGCTTTAGAATGTGTGGAATAAATTAAGAGTAAAATGAAGACCCCTGGGTATTTCACATATATAGCCAGAGTTTGTGATTTGATCTCCTTCTGTGGTCATAAACTGGATGAACTGCAAGTCCTAAGTTAGCCATAGCAGACATCAGCAGCTCACAAGTTTATTCTGAAAGCAATCAGAAACTGTTCTGATAACTGGAACAAGATTTTTTAAAGACTGAGCCTATGGAAACCCGAGAGAAAACAAAAACAATAAAAACTTCATCCTGTCTACATCTACCCATTCCTGCTACCTATGCTGCAAGAGAGACTGAAGACCCTAAGGAACATCACAGTCATTCCATATTTGTGCAGCACTCAGGTGGTAATGAGTGCCCAAAACCAAAAAAAAACAAACCTAGAGGTAATTAATACTTCTGCTTACAGACCTGCTTACAAGACATGAACAATGTCTTTTTCTTTTGTGAAACCCAAAGGGCTCTGCTTCACTTCTATAGTGTACAACGTGAAACCCAAAGGGAGAGAAGGGACTTAAAAGACAACAAACAAAGGGGCTAACAGCTGAACCTGCGCCTCAGAAGCTCAGAAAATAACTTTTCTGGGCAGTTGGGTAGCTCAAAGCAAGAAATGCACGATGTCTCACCCAGGTAAACGAAGTAAGGAGCAATGATGCTGCCCAGCCTGGAAGCCGTGGAGGTAGCTCCGACTGCCATGTTTCTGACCAGCGTTGGGTAGAGCTCCACATTGTAGACATAAAGCATTGAAAACGCAGAGGTGATGCCAAATTTTCCGAGCATCACCAGGCCAACAGACAGGGCACTGTAATCTGGAGGAGAAAACATTAAACCAAGATAAATAAACAAGACTCTTTGCTTATTACTTGTATTTCTTTAACTTTTCAGAGCCCCTATCTCTGCTTTTTTTTTTTTTTTTTTCCTTCATCTAGAAGTTGTGTTTTTTTTTTTCTTTTGTTTTTATTTCTACAGCATATTAGCCCCATCCCCAGATCGCTTGGCTGTGGACTTCCTGCTGAGCACGCTGTAGAAGGCACAAGCAGGTTTTTTACTTTTCAGATCTTATATTTCACCTGGTAAAAGGATGTTCTTGAAATGGAACAAAATTCTGGATTACACAGTAACAAAGCACAATCTTAAATCCACCCTGGTTTTGCAAAATTCTATGAAGATTTGCACACAGTGAGTTCTGGGAGGCTTGCAGGCTGTTTTTGGCCTTTACACATAACCAGATAAATCACGGTGCACTTCTGGCTCTCACTTTACAAGCTGGTTCCCCTGGACTATAAAAAGCTCAGTAATCTGACACAATAAGCAAGAGCCATGTGTGACTCAGCATATGCATATATATTATATATATAAAAGAAAAGAAAAATCACAGCCATGAGTGATCAGCATAAATTTGACCTCAGATTCCAAATTTGATCGCAGCTTTCAGTAATTCCACAGACCCATTAGACAGCAGCATAAAATATCATAACGTTGCATTTAATTACGTGTTGTATCAGATCTTGTACCTGTAGGAACAAGCTGGATGAAGAGGACGACGCCACCCCCTAAAAACAAGGTGCCAGCTATTGAGTAGCGCCGAGGCAGGTAGCGGAGGAGAAGCCAGGCGATCACGTAGGATGGGACTTCAACAACCGCCAGGAGGAAGCAGTTGATGTAGACATTGCCATGCAGGTTTGGAGTGTTAAGGGAGAGGCCAAAGTAACCAACTGACGTGAAAAACCTGAGAAAAGCAAGAAGAACAAATTATTCCAGAAACACCATTCTCTGAACACCTCCGGTGCTGCCTCAGAGGTTGTTACAAAACTGGGACGTTGCAAAGCATTGCCATGGACATCGTGGCTTAAAAACCTCAGTGGCAACCCCAACTTTCTAATTCTGCCATCCCTTGCAGTGCTCATATCCACAGCAGCGTGCGGAGCCCTCTGATTTCTCTCCTTCCTCCATATCCTGAACCAAGCACTAGGCTTTGTGGAAGTCAGTCACAAAGGCTTTTCACTGCAACGGGCACCTCGAAACAAGTCTGGGAAGCTTCCCACGCCAGCTACGTTCCTACTCGCAGCAAACTCCAGGGACAGGCTCTCCCACCCTCGGCACTTTGGTTACGTCTCACTGGACTCTTCTCAACAGAGCTGGACCTCCAGGATTCAAACCTCAAGAGTGCCTTGCTAGGGCACGCCAGGCGTGCCAGCCAGTTCCTTTCTGCTGGGGGAAATATGTACAGAAAAGGGCCGCAGTTTGGCTACATGGCACTATTTGGTCGTCATTCCTTGTGGTTGCCCAGGCAGGGACCAGGATCCCAATGAGAGAGGCACTGCACAGAAACACAACGAAAATGCTGGCCATGGGTCTGGCTCTGGTTCTGCCTCTGCTTTGAGACATTTCTCTTCAAAGAGAGATTATGGAGATGGGAGCTTCTTAAAACAAAAGCAAAAAAAAAAAACACAAGTTGCTACATGTATTTTCTTAATTATTTCCCATCTGAATTGAGGCTACCATCCCCACACCTGTAGGTATTAATGCAGTGAGGGTGCGGGGGCCGCTGAGGGGCACGAGCCAGCCAAGGACCACGTGTGGGTAGGCTCCGAGGCTGAAACTCATCTAAACCTGTGGCATGTGCCCTCAAATCAGAAATCGTTCTATTGCCTGGGTACTTTAGGAATACACATTTCCTTACCACAAAAGTAATGACATAATAGTAATAGTTGCAATGTTTCGGGTTCGAAATAGGTCCAGAAGGATAGCCTTCTGCTGCTGCTGAGGCTTCGAATCCTGCATCTGAAGGAAAAAGGAAGACAAAACCAAAAAAATTCCCACACCTCAGAGCACAACAACCTTTTGCACACCCACACGTCGGGGCAGTTACGAGGTTACGGCTATCCCAGGGCCCCACCAGGCAGCCCAAGCTCTGCAGCGGGGTGCAGTCCTCAGGTAGCGCTCGTCTCTGCACCCAGCCGTACTCCGCGGCACCTTCCAGGGTTTGTTAAACGGGAGCACCGGGACCTCGGCACCGTGCTGACTACTGAACAAGGAGCATTACTGACAAGAGAGATGCACGAGCACTTCCTTAAGGATCTGACACAGTCCTTCCAGGAGCAGCCTCATGACTGGAGGCATTTTTCCGTGCGCTGCACTCAGCTCTCTTTGTTCAACTTTCGTAAATGGGGTGAGATTAATGCAAGTTATCGCCCGCTTTTGCTGCCTGGTCTCAAAAACACGTGAGTGATCGACAGCAGACCCACCCCCTGGGGCCTGAAAGAGTCAGGTCCAAAATGAAGGACAACTGAGCTCTGGCTGTGAAGGAGAGTGCTTCCAGAGTTCCCATAGCTGGAACGTGTGCGAGAATTTACAGCACAGCAGATGCTTGGAGAGGAGATCTTCAGCCCAGCCAAAGTTTGAGCAGGACGCTCGATGAGCCGATGCTGCCAGCAAGGGCGCAGCATTTCCCTCCTGCAGATACCCCAAAGGGGTGCGCGGTGCTTTGCTCTCTTCTGTGTCAGCAGACAGAAAACGCAGGTGCTGGTAAGATGCAGGAAGGTCGGATCTGACACACAGACCCACGGCGTTGCGGATTTCTCTGCGCAGGAGCCGTGCCCATGCCTCTTCAGCAGGAGCTCTGGGGGCGGATGAGCTGCCGGGGGGGAGGCGAGCACAAAACCCAGCCGTGCTGCCGCGGCCGTGAGCCTGCTCGGTGCCAGGCTTCCTCCTCTTAACCAATAAATATGAAATGCAAGAAAAAAATCAGCCTGCAGAAGAATTTCAGCTGATCCGAGGCCTTCTCTCCAGTCATGTTTCAAGGGCACTTGAGGCATTCGGTGCTCTGTGTGACTGGAGCATCCTGCGGGTCACCGTGGGGCCCCGGCACACGTGGACCTGGACTTGGTGCCCCCGTGCAGCCCCCGTGAAGAGCCCCTGTTAAAGTGCAAACCGCTGACACCGCGCTGGGATGGGGCTGAATGCGTCCTCCTCGGCTCTCCTCCGTGCCCGAAGGGTGAAGCAAGCTGGGTCACCCTTGCTCTGAAAACCACAACCAACCACTGCTGCGGAACAGAGCTTTACTGTAAAAAGCAAACAAATAAGTAAGCCCTCTGGCTTCTCATCTCGACTTTGCTAACCCAACACTTACCTCACGCCAACAGCCAGCGCCAGCCCCTGTGAGCTGCTGCTGGAAGCCATTCCTGCCCTGGCATTTCACAACAAGTCAACTGGCCAAAGGGGAAAGCTGCTGACGAGGTAAAGTGACAGGGCACGTGAAACATACCTCCGCGGTGTCGAAAATCACAGCCGGGGCTGGAATGCCATTTATTTTTGCAGCCTTGCGGATAATAGCTTCTGCCTCTTTATATCTTCCCTGGGAGATCAGCCACCGAGGGGATTCAGGAATGATCCTGCAATAAGTTTCAGAATAAATGACTCAACGTTTTCACAAAAGTGAAGCATTATTAAAGCCACATGTACAGTTTTTTTTTGAACTGCGCTCTCATCTCGCAAATTACTCGTGGTTGAACACGGTCAGCGCAGAAGCATGCAGGCAATGTAATTCCTGAACGTGTCCCACTGGGACCAGTGGGAGAGCTCAAGCTGAAGGAGATGCTTGGGCCCTTCTCCTAGGGGGCCTGCTTTTTTTTTTTTCTTTTTTAAAGACTGATGTTACTGGACAGACAGAAAATATGGGGGTAGCTTAACCATCGTTAAGCAAAATTATTCTTAGGGAACTGCACGCAGCGTGGAAATGCTTTAAATGCACAGAGGATATATTTAAAGGCTCTGTGTCACAGGAATCTATACACAAACCTCACGATTTTACTACAACTCTCCTAGGCTCAGGACAGAGGCACTGTCCCCATGCAGAGCTGATGGCATTTTCTAATCACTTCCAAACATGCGTTGAGTGAATTAACACTGACCACGGGACAGAAAATCTCACCTTTCCTTAACTTAATCCTGTGACCTTAACAAATGCTTCCTCGCTCCCGTTAGCCAGCAATAATTTCATGGTGCCTGTCAGGCTGAGAACAGCACTAACTTTTCCTAATCTGTTTTTTCAGCCTCCTGGGGCAGAGCACCCATGGGCAAGTGAGGGTGCACCTACACTGAGGTGGATGGGCGCAGCAGGGAGAGGAAAGAAAACATGGGCTCAGCCACCGAGACAAGAGCAAGGGATGGCTCAGAGGAGCTGAGCATTTATGAGGGACCTGTGGGGCCCTCACGAGGTCCCCACCACTGCTGGGTTTCAGTGTGAGCTCTCTTCTTGCCTTTCAGTGCCAGCAGGGCTGCAGACACACTCGCTTTGGCAGCCAAAGCAAAGCCTGGGAGCGCACACCTCTGCCTGGTGACATTTAGTGCTGTCACCTGCCAGCCTTCCACTCAGCTTTTAGTACCCATCAGGCAGCTGAATCCTCATTAAACATGGCTTAAAGAAAAAAGCAGGGAAGAAAGGTTAGACTGAATCATCCAGCACTACCACAGCTACCAGGTGGTTAACAGTGTCCAGAATTAGGGGCCAAAGTTCCCCAGCTGCTCCGGAGAGCTGGTGGCACAAGTGCCCCCAGGCACATGGTGAGCACCAGGGAGGATCAGTGGGCAGGTAGCTGGGCTGAACACAGGCAAAACAAAAACAAAACACAAAGCAAAATAAAACACTGGGCCCTGGAGAGAGAGAATTGGGCACAGGGGGAGAGCGTTGGGCGCGTTGCACTCACCACCAGAGCGGGACGCAGAACAGCCCCGGGACTGGTGAGCGCCAGCAGCAGCATCCGCCAGTCTCTGATGAAGTAAGCAAACAGTGGCAGCAACATGTAGCCAATTGCAAAAAATATGCAAACTCCTAACGTAGAGAATATAATACGAACTGATTTGCCAAGAATTTCTGTGCCTGTTTAAAACAAGGGAGGTTGGATTAGCATTTTTAACTCTTCCTTCGCAGTCACCACTAAATACTTTACTGCATTTATAAAATAAAGCTAAACAACGTTAGAAAAGAGTTTAAATGTAAAGAGATAAAATTTGTCTTATATAACACTTTAATTGACACTGCGTAATGGTCTAAAAGGTGATGGTCATTACAGAGCTATTAGCATGGGGGGAGTTCCTCCCGATTTTCAGCGTTCAGACCTGCCCAGTAACTAAAAATGCCTGGGATTGTCGGGGGCTCCCCGGGGATGGAGCAGCTTCTGCTTGCTGTGATTAACGCACTGCCCGACACAGGTGAGGGCAGGCCTGGGCCAGCAGCTGACAGACTGCCAGGAGCCTTCCCGATGTGCTTGGAGGAGAAATAGGCTTTGCCCCCTTTCACTAGATTGGGATTTAAAACCCCTTAATTAAAGGTTAAAACCCTTAATATTGCAGAGCGATTGGAAAAAAATACCAGAGACTTAAAAACCAAGCAACCAAACCAAAAAGCTATTTAATAGCTACAGGTTTCCATTTCAGAAGCTTGGGGTAACTGAATAAATTCACGAGAAGATGCAAACAAGGACTCTTAGGGTCAGGAAGGGTGTGTTAAAAAATAAACTGCTGTCTTCCTCCGCTGATGGCTCTTGCTTAGGGGCATCTGGGGAGACGTCTGAGCCTTGCAGCATTGTTTTATACCTGTTGAGCAGTGTGTTAAGACGTAGGATTTGTGGCATTATGAGCCAATATGAGACAATATCTTTCATCTCTATTTCTCTTCTGTCTCTCCTCTTCCCTTATTCTCTTGGCAATAGCAACCCTGGGCTGCCAGCAGCACGCCTTCGCAAATCTCTCTGTTGTTTTACAGTCTCAGGACTTGAACATGGAAAAAAAACAACTACAACTAAGGAAAAACTGGCAGAAAAAGCTGGTTTGTATGTGGAATCGGCAGCAGGGACTGAGCTGTGCACGGGGAGGTGACACAGGCTGACAGCGGGCTTCCAGCATTTGGATATCGAGAGCTGGGATGGGAACCGAAAGGAGAAACCCGTGGGAAACCAGGCACTGGCACAAACAAAAACCCCAAACCCAGCTGGTGCTGGGGAGTGCCAGGGCTGCAGCACAGCGGGGATTTACACGTGCTGGTGCCACTGCTCCCCCTGAGCTGGAGACACAGCATCCACCAACACCAGACAGCACCAGGCAGCACCTCCAGGGCACAGGGAAAAGGAGCAACCCCAGAGCAGGAGCCCACCACGGGATGGGGTTCCTACAGGAGCCTCTCTTCCCCCTGTGGGTGCATTCCCCCACCCAGCACCCTTGTCACGTGCTGATTTTTGGGAGCTGCTGGCTGGGCTGGAGGAGCAGCAGGGGCGTGCAGGGTGCTCAGCTGCACCTTGTAGGGTGGGAAGCGCTGCAGAAATGCCTCTCTGCACTGAAGACAGCTGATGACTAACCGCAATTAGAGAGCTAACTCCTAAATTGCTTTAGCTTAATCCCATCCTTAGTAAGAGCCCCAAGGCTCCTGGCGGAGTGGGAAAAAAAACCACTGAGCCTCCTGAGAGCTGGGAACGGCTCCGCAGAGCACGGGATGGCAGAAGGAGCACCACGGCACACCAGGTACCAGCAGGCTGCACCCATGCAATGAAACGTGCTCGGTTGGGAGCAGCTGTCCCTACCTCTTGGCAGCAGGTGCTGCCAGGGTGCTCTGGGTCCCCCCAGCTCTGCCAAAACCCCAAAACCGCAGCTCCGTGTCCGTGCCCCCAGCACTGCCCTGCGCTCCCTGGGGAAACGCCGGGTGAGCTCGTGCCTGATGTCCCCCAAAGCAGTGACACCATGAGCTACAAATTCTGACACCCCTGGGTTAAAAGCTCACACAGGAGGCCTCACGCTGTGCATGGAAACTGCTTTGCCCCAAGGGCTGGCTGCCCAGAGCCCTCAGCAAACTGGGGGTGGCCAGGGAGGAACCCAAAAGTCGCTGCTGGCTCAGCCCTGCTCCCGCTGATAACAGCACCTCAGCCTGCCTCGAACCTTTCCTCCAAAAAGCACAGAAATAATGTTTGTGTTGATATTTCCTGCACTCTCTTTTTCTCTAAACCTGCAAAAAGCACAAGCTCTAACTATTTGAAGAGATTCCTTAAAGTATCCAAGAGAAAAAAAAAACACCATGCTGGCCTAAATTAGGAATTTTACCAGTCAGGATTTAGAGCTGTCTCTAATTAACTGCTGCAAGTTCAGAGGAAAAAAAAAACACAGTACATTAAGCAAGCATTTAATCTAATAAAGGCTTATCCATACCCAGTATGAAGGCCACCACGTAGTTGGAGATCTGCCCCATCCCCACTATGAGGAAGAGCACCGTGAACATCTCCCAGCTGGTGGAGAAGATCTGCAGGAAGCTGAAGCCTGTCTGCACGGCCATGGTGGAGAAGAGGATGCTCTTCCTGCCAAACCTGGTGCCAAGGACAAAGGAGATGATTACTGAATTCATTCGTGGAGCAGGGCTACGCAAAAGAGAGCATAAATATCCAGCTGCGGGTGACACAGCTTAGCTGAAGATCAGTTACATTTTTATGCCTTTTATGTATTATTTCTACAAGAACCAGAAAAATAGAATTTCCAAGACCCAGGAAATAAATTAATAAAGGAAATTAAGAGCAGAAAGTTCAGGTTGTCACTAGCCAGGAACTCAGGAGCCCAGACAACAGTATAAAGGTGAGAAAAACTCTGAGATCACAAGCCGTGCAGACCAAAGTTAGGAAATGATGGCACTCAGGCTGCTGGCATCTGTACAGGCGTAACACCACTGCAGTTTGGACGTGTTATCGAGCTCTATCAGCTGGTTTCACCCCACTTGGGCTCAGAACACACCCGCTTATTGACAAAACCTTTCCAAAAAGCTCCACAAGCAGCTAACACTAGAAGGGGCCCGCTGGCTCGCCAGCTGCTCGGGTGCGCACATTTTATCAGATGTTCCCAAGGGGCACCAGAGGGATTTAGGGATAATCCCGTCTCCTCTCAAACAGTAACGCGGCCCGACTTTTGCACCAGGGGCAGGAGATTAAATTTGGATCACATGGAATTTAATACTCATGGCTTTGGGATTAAGTCTCACGTTGAGTTTTGACCCCCCCCTGCTGAGATGTTCCTCCCCAACCGCAGCAGCACCGGGCAGGGATGGCCACAGGGCTGCAGCAGGGATGGGGACACGCAGGAGGAACGGGTGCTTGGCACTGGACACCTGTAAGGCCAAAACTTGATTGCTGCTGAGATAATTGTCAAACGCCTGCTGTATTTTTCTTGGCATTTTACATCTACGTGGTTAGACTGGCATCACATCGTTGCTATTCATTTACAGGTTATCCTTTTATTTTCCTCGTGGGCACATTTCGTTTCCAGCGAACCATCTCATCCAACAAGACACGTTGGAGCTCCCACTCAAAGGACAACTTTTGCCTTACGGCTCCAACAACAGACTCCCAGTTAATGTGTGACAGCGAACGAGGTTTTTATAGCTACCAGAAGGGGTGGACAAAGGAGCGAGCTTGGGACCAGCTCATCAAACTGCAAGGCTGCCACATGCACTCGGTGCAGAGACCAGCTGTTGGCTGACACATACAGATGGCAGCAGTTCCACGTGTGTTGAGGGTAAAGGTTGGGATTTTTAAAGAAAAATCCTGTTCCCAGGGTTTTGCCCTGCTCTGCTCCCGAGTGAAGCTGGCGACGGTGGCGTTACCTGTCTGAGAGCTGCCCCGAGATGAAGGAGCCGATGAGGACACCCACGAAGAACAGGGACGTCGTCAGCGGCACTTTCCAGTCGTCCTCACACACCAGGTTCCACTGCAAGAGAAGGGTCCATGATCAGATCTGCCCTGAATAGCGTGGCACTGCCCGGGAGGGCGCTGATTTCCCCATATTGTGGCCGAATTCCCCCCGTCCTCTCCCCATCCCTTCCAGTGGCTGGGGCCGTGAGGTCCCTGCAGCTGATGCGCACCCATCCTGCACCCCAAGCTGGGGTGCTCCTGGGGACAGCTCGCCTGGCCTCCCTGCTGCAAAACCTGCTGCATTTCTCTGGTTTATGGGTTTGACAGAATGTATGCAAAAGCGTGCAGAGTGAAATCTCTTCTCCATCCCACAAAGATTTACTCTTAAATCCCTCCTCCCCTTGGCATCCTCATGGGCAGGCTCCGTGCTCGCCGCTCGTCCTCGTGGCTGGGACCGGAGGCTTGGGACAGGAGCCAGCGTGGAAACTTCCACCCGGCGCCTCCCATCACCCCACGCAAGGCTTAAAAAAATGAAATCAGCACAAGGAGCCTCGGTGCACCCGAGGGAGAACTGAGCACACATCTGCCAGGGCTTGCTCACGTCCCGGGGAGCGATCCCCCGGTCAGGGCACACCCGCCGGGGTGCTGCTGGACACGCTTCAAACAGGTCGGTCGCAGCTTAGATAATTGTACCATGAAGGTAGGCTAATCAGGCTCAGCTCAAAGTACAGCATCATTTAGTACAGCATCATTTTAATAATTAGCCTTGCTATCAGGAAGCGGGGACATCGCCTTCACCGGGACGCAGCCTCTGCCTGCGGGGTGCAGGGGCTGAGCAGCAGCAGGGGGCTGAGGCTGCCCCCAGCACAGAGGCACCCGGCCAAAAGGAGCGAGTTGGGATTTGGAGAGAGATCCCAGCGCTGTCTGATGGCACTCCCTGTCCTGCCAAAGTGAAACAAAACAACCAGCGGGTTGGCATTTCAAACCACAGCCTGTGCCCGCTCCTGAAAACACCAGCGCATCATCTGCAATGCAGGAGTCCTGTGGCATGGGGCTGAAATGCACCTCAGTTGCTTAAATCTGATTTATTTCAAATGGAAACCATCTCGTCCCTGCTGGGAGGAACAGGTGGGTAGGTGTGGGCCAGGCCCAGGTGGTTATCTCTGTTTATCTTAATTGTATTTGATAAGATAGGAGGGAGGGCATGGGCCAGCGGGGCTCGGATGCTTCCAGGGATGCTGGACTTGGAGAACATACACAGGATCTGCTTCACTTGTCAGAAGAAATTGAGATTAAAAAATAAAAATAAAAAAAGGAGGAGGTGTGAATCAAGCCCTGGATGTTCCTAGAGAAACTGAGAGGAAAGGGAACAGGGCGGCAGGTTCCCAAATTGCCATGTCCGGATTTGTAGCGCTTTGTACGCTCAGCCTCGGAGAAGCCGGTGAATAACGAGGTGGCAGACAGCTCGCAGCCCGTACAGAACATCACTCAGGGTATTAAAATCCGATTTCTGCTCACTCCAACCAGCAGGGGAGGTTGGGCTGTTGTCCCCAGCAGTGTCAAACCCCGACCCATGCTGTCCGCAGCCTCTGCTTGGACACCAAAGAGCTGCTCTGGGCAACGAGGAGGCTTCCTGACACGCACTCAGCCCCACAGGCTGGAAGCAGAGAAAAAAATTAAAGATACCAGGAGGAGCCCTTAAAATGTGCAGGATGTGGTAAGGGTGTGCAGCAGCCGGCTGGTGGGGTGGGCTTTGTGTCTGTAGGAACTCGCTGTACCTGACCAGAAAACACACAAACACAGTGAAATCCATCTGACCCCAGGAACAGCTGAAGCTGCTGAGCAAAAAAGTGCCCCTTATACGAAAATAGGTGAAGTTCACCTCGTCCTCCTTCACACACGACCCATCCTGCCCCTGTGGCTCATGCATCTGCAGCCCCATCACCACCCCAGTCCCTGCAAGCTTCCTAGGGAAAAAAAGTGCCATTTAACTCATTTCAGCTCCTCCTCAGGGACAGTGCTCATCCCAGCCCGTGCCCAGCACACAGAGGCTGAGCTACCTGCAGCCACGGCGCCCAAACTCTCTGCTGGAGGAATTATTCATTAACCAGCAAATAAGTAATTCTTTAATATCTCTGCCTACGCAGAACAAAGTACGCGTAAGCGTCCGTGCGAGTTCCTTTTACCAGCAGGAATTAGAGCTGCTGGATCCCTTTTTGGCCATCACATCCCCGAGCCCCCTGTTCCCAAGCTCCTGGCTTCCAGAAGGGTGAATTCTGCTGGCGTGGCCAGCAGGGATGCTGCAGGTCGATGAGTTTTGTGACCCAACCAGTTGGTCAACCGCTGGGAAAAAGCCTCAGGGGGAGAGACAAATCCTTCAGATGCCTTCACATCACAGCAGCTCCTACCCAGCTTTGTACAGGGAGGCTGCTCACCCCTGCTGACCCCCAGCCCCCTGCCTCCCCTGGGAATAGCACTGGTGAGCAGGGAGCAGCCTGCAGCACTGCCGTGGGCACTCGTGGGGCTCCTGCAGCAGGGCCGTGCACCGTGCAGCACTGTGATGCTGCAGGACAGCCCAGAGCACCTCTCAGGGAGCTGAGAGCCCAGCACCGGGGCGTTAAATGCGTGTAAGCGCCCTGCTCCAGAGAGCAAAACCGCTGCCTGTGCCCGAGCCTCTAGTGACAGCCAGATCTGAGCACTGCTCTCTGGAATTAGAGCAGAATTAGGTTAAGTTCCAGGCAAAAACCCACAGCATAGAAAAAATACATATGTTAACACTTAAATTAGTTTCAAAGCACAGATGGTGGAAACGAGGGAATGGCCAGAGAGGAGCAGCCCCGCTCTGGGTCAGAGCCTCCCTGCAAGTGCCGGCAGCGCTGACCTGGTGCAGCAGCCACACCGGCCACCTGGTCAGACAAAAAACCATCATTTTTATGTGGGACAACCTGACCGACACCCTCAGCTCCCTGACCTCGTTATGTCCCTTTTTCCCCTGTGTTTTGGACACATGCACTTTGCTGACATCATCTCCACTTTCAGACCTACCATATGACTGAGCTGGGGACCCTCCGCTCCAGGGAATTCAGCACATCCCCAGATAACTCCAGGGCTGGGCTGGCACCTCCCAGCCTGCTCCTTTCAAGCAGCAGTAACAGGATTTGATGCAGCTGAATGACTCAGATGCAACCTCCAGTGCCCAGTCCCATAACCACCAGGTTTTGCTCCTCAGCTGAAGATGGTTTTTTCCATCGAGCTTTCCTGATGGCATGTCCAGGCTCGTCTTCATTAATACCGAGAAAAACGTTGGGCACAAAAATTATCATCACAAGTTCAACCCAACTGCTTCTTCTCATGGTTTCATCACTGCCCGCTTTCCTTGCTTTAAAACAGAATTCAGCATCTTTCCCCAACGTTCGTGCCATTTTAAACTAAACAAGTATCCTTTTCCATCTGGCCTACAGCTGGGAACCTGACGCTTGGTTTCCACCATCTGGATGTGTTATTTCCCCTCGGGTGCGCTCCAGGTCCCGTGGCAAACCCCACTGTGCTGCCCCTGAACTGCCTTTCTGCTGCACGTGCCTGCCCGCAGCACGTGTCCTGCAGCTGGGACGTGGCCACGGTTCGCCCACGGCCAGGACTGGGGGAGCTTCCCGAGGGATGGGGACTGAGTACAGCTGCTGGCAGGGGAGACGCACGCATGGGCTACACGTGTCCATGGGCACGCGAGGGGTGTCCCCTCCCCGAGCCTTTCCCTGCTCGCCTTCCTCTCCCGCACGCCTCAGTGCAGCTGAGCCCCCATCTGCCCACCCCTGCCCGTGCCCCCACGCCCCCTGGCACAGCCCCACAGCCGTGCCCAGCCAGCAGGACGGTTCCTGGTGGCGATGTCCCTGCTGAGTCACCGTGGCTGCAGACGAGGGGCAGGCACCCGCTCCCTGCCCACGCTGCGCACCCCAAGCGTGATCCATCGGGTGCACCAGCGGGGTGAATCCTTCCACCACCGAGCCTGATTGGGGCAGCACCCAGCTCCCCAAAGCTGTGCAGAACCCCAACACAAGCCTGAGGTTTCCCTGAGAGCCTTCTCATGGCTGCAGTGACCTCGAGCTGCGTGGGATCTCCTGTCCCCTCCCAGGCCACTTGGAGCGACCCCGGGTGACGCTGCCTGCCCTGGGGCACGCTGCCCGGCCCACGGGGCCTGCCCGCTGCCAAACCCCAGTGCCGCAGGCGTGGGTTGAGCCCGTTATCCCTTTAACCCTGTCACATAACACCGAGGAGTGAGAGCAGCTCCACAGCTTTAGGGGATGGTGCTTTCCTCCTTTATCACAGCTCGCCACCAGACGTGCAGACAGCCTGGCCCCGCTGGTGCACTCAAACCCCAAACAAGTTCTTCCATGACCGCCACCGCTGATGCTCCCGCGACGCCTTGTGTGGATGTTGTAGGGGCTTAAAACTGGCAGCTTGGGCACAGCCTCAGGGCCAGGCTCACACAGGAGCCAGCAGCAGCCCTCCAAGCAGCCCCCACCTCCACCAAGTCACCCAATGTGGACCTGGCAGCCACCAAAGGCAGCGTTGGGGCTGGCAGCACCAGCACAGGGTGCTGGGGCAGCGAGGACCCCACAACCAGCACCACACTGCCCAGCCCCACAGGGCCCTGATGGGGGTGCCCAGTGGTGTCCATGGCCCCATCCGCAGCAGGGCTGGGAACCAGCGACCGGGGGGGCTGCCAGGAGGGTCAGCAGCCCGCAGCCAGCTGCCACCCGTCTATTTTCAGCCCTCACCTCCCCGCCACGGGTAAACCCTCTGCAAACAAACCGGGCTGGAGTCTCCACTGGGTGCTCCGCATTGATAACCCGGATGGGCTGCACGGTTCGCCCCCCGTCCCCCCGAGCCCGGCAGCATCTCCCCTCCTCCCGGACCCACTCCCTCGACCCCCTGCCCTTTGGTGATGCCACCAAAGATGCCACCGGGGTCCCCTCACCTCGGTGACGATGGTGGAGCGGTAGACGTCCCGGCTGTACTCCCAGCCGTCCAGGCACGGCTCCTGCTCCAGCTCTCCCAGCTCCACGTCGGAGCCGGGCCGCAGCCCCAGCGCCGAGAAGTTGGCGAGCGCGGCCAGGCGGTAGCGGCGGCAGCGGCTCGGCTCCTCCCGGCCGCCGCGCAGCTCCAGCGGGATGCTGGCGTTCAGCCACTCGCCGCTCAGGTTGGCTTCGCGGGGCACGGCGCAGCGGTGCGCGGGGGTGCCGGCTAGGAAGACGGCCGACATCCCATTGAAGCCGTTGGGGACGATGCTGGCGCTGAGCAGGAAGAAAACGAGGCGCTGGAAGCGGCCCCATTCGCCCAGGAAGGCGGACACCTCCTCGTAGTCCCGCATGGCTCTCCCCGCGGCTCTCCGCGGCTCTGCGCGCCCCCAGGACGCGGCTCCTCCCCGGCACGGCTCGGCACGGCACGGCCCGGCCCCCGAAGAGGCGGTGCAATCCGGTGGACACCCGCTGTCCCGGCCCCGGGAGGGCGCTGCCGGTGCCCGGGCTCCCCGCGGAGCATCCCCGGGGGGCGCAGCCCGGGCGCACCCCGCGCCTTGCCCGCCCCGCAGCCGGGGCTCTCCCGGTCCCTGCCTCCCGCGGTGCTTTCCGCCCATCCCGGAGAGTGGCCGGCCCCACAGCAGATCCCTCCCGGCAGAAGGAGGCAGGAGGGGGATGAGGAGCACCCACTTTTGTCATCCTCTTCGGCACAAGGCTCGTTTGGCAGCGGTGTCAGACGAGGTCAGCAGCGGCTGCTCCGAAGGGTCCTGGGGCAGCGCTGGCCCCGGAGCGAGGTTCTGTGTGCCCCAGTTTCCTATCTGTTATTTTCTCCTGCCTTACGCATGACTCTTAGCTTGCCCGGAGGGAGACACATGGATAGCTGGTGAAGCCATTTCAGAAATCTGAGCGGCGCTGCCAGCCCCGGCCATGGCTCCAGGGGCACTTGGAGCCACGGCGCTGTTTGAAATATGCACAGCGCTCGGCTTGTTTCATAATGCTGCTTTGGGCTGTGCTCCCCTGACACTTGTGACACTGCTGTGGGCTGCAAAAGCCTTCTTGGAGGAAACCCAGAAATGTCAATGCGCCGTTGTGTGGCAGTCCTGTGAGTCCCAGGATGGGGCTGGTCCCTTTGCTGATGTTGGCACAGTGTGGAGCACGTGTGGCAGCTCCTGTGCTAGCCACAATGACCAGACAGGAGGGGAAAGGAGGCATGATGAGAGGGAGAGGGAAGAGAGCAAAAGCAAACAGCTCCCATTTCCAGTGTTCATTCAGGGGAGCACGGGCTGCTGGCTGCACACCAGCCACCAGCACACTGCACTGCACGGGAGGACACGGGGTGCTGTGTGGGACACATGGGTGTGTGGGCACAGCCTGTGCTCAGCTGGCTGGGCTTTTGTTATTGTCTTTTTTTGTTGTTGTTGTCTTTTTTTATCAAAAGGTGCACCCCAGGCACAGGAGAGATCTCTGGTGAGTCACTTGGAGGAGGACACAGCAGAGCTCTCCGCAGGGTGCTTGCTGGGGAGCGGCCGGTTTGGCCTTGCAGGGCCAAGCTCACCTGTGCCGGCAGCAGGCAAAAGAAGACAGGGAAACATCTCCCCAGCAGTGATCGGAGCCTTACGTGGGCATTTGGGAAGGTGGAGGCACAGCCAAATCAGCGGGCGCTGTGCCACGGAGCCACCTCTGCAGCAGTGCCTGGGGAGGAGAAGCAGACGGCAGCATTTATCCGGGCCAGGCAGAGCCCGCTGCTGAGCGGGATAAGCGAGGGGCCGATGTGGTGCAGCAGATGGGGAGGGCTCTGACACCACCCACCCGGAGAGGGGCAGGGGGGGATGTCTCCACGCCAAGCCTGAGCCATCGCTCAGCCAAAGCTGGCCCTGGTGATAAGAGTGGAACAGGGATGGCAGGGGGATGGGGGGCTCGCAGCCTGCAGTGGGGGCTGCTCTGCCCTGCCCAGGGCTGCACAAGGACCACGGACAGACAGGCAACGTGTGTGCAGCCCCATGGGGAAATAAGGAGTCGGGAATGCCTTGTCTTAATCCTTAGTGTTAGTGCAATTAGTCAGTCAGCAGCAATTGTCTACGGAGGAATCCTTTGCAGCGCTCATAAATAGCTGTGGATAGAGTGTAAATTTAATGAATTAAAAGCGGTAATGTATAACACACACGTGTTTATCTGTTTTACAGATGAGTCCTTATCGTATTATAAATTTCATACGTTCAACATGAAAGCACCATTGGGCTTTCTGTTATTTGGTGAAGACACGCAGACTGGGAGCCAGAGAACCACCTGCTGTCCTTGCCAGCTCTGCCACGGCCCCAACAGATCCTGCACGTGAGCACCACAGCTCGGAGTGCTGCTGCTCTCCTGCCAGCCTTTGCTGGGTGCTCCCTGGATTGGAAAGCCTGCTTTGATCAACATATCAGGGATGGTTCTAGCCAGGCATGGAGATTAAGTGAGCTCCTGCTCTGCTCTGGGTTGGAGTGGTCACTGCCTGTGCAGCTCCACTCTCCCCCTTCTGCTTGGGGAAGGACCCTCAGCCTCGTGGCACCCTCGTGGCACACTCCCAGCAGCCATCTCAAGAGCTGCGAATTAAGAAAACACGTGATAAATCAGAGCTGTGTAATTCCATACTGTTTGCATAACACTTGGATCATGCAAAAGCTTGCTTATCAACAGGGCAAAGCAAAATCCATTTTCTAAGGGCGTTGGCTGGCTCTGAGCAGTGCCCGTAGCAGGGCGACGTGCCCAGCGCTCTGCCCAAAGCCTGCCCCCTGTGCTGCTGCTGCCTGCACCGGGGTGGCTGGAGCCGGTGACCATCCCACTGGGCTGATGGCATCTGGGACAAAATGTTTTTTGGCTCCTTTGAGCTCCTGCCCCATTTCAAACCGGCTGCTCTGCCAGCAGACGTGAGTGCGTTCGCTCCCGGGGAGCACCGCTGAGGATTGCCCACTGCAATGCTTCCTCGCAGCCGTACCCATTTACAGGATGTGCAGCTTTTACGGGCAGTCGTGGCCATCCCTTCTCAGTTCCTGGCAGTGATGCATGAACTTTTTATCCTCCTGAGGAGGGCTGGGCAGGCAGGCACTCAGCAGGATTGTTTTTCAGGTAAGCACCCTTGTGGCAGGCATCAAATGGAGCCGGGGTGCCTGCCTGCAGCACAGGTGTGAGGCTGGGAAAGCCCCCAAAATGCACCTGCTCAAGTGGAAGCAGCTTTCCCCAAACTTACCCACCTCCTACTGAGAAATGAAACACTTTCACCTGTGCACCATCACTCGACCAGGTGAAAGGCAGCAGCGCAGCCTCCAGCTGCTCCCCCGGGAGCAGCCCTCTCCTGGTTACCTCCCAGAAGAGCTGTCCTCCTGGTTCACTGTGATCTTCTGACCCAGGGACCGCTCACCCAAGGCTGTAAATTCTCAGAGCGTGGTATTTTTTTCTCCCATTCTGCCCGGAATTGCGGGGCATCCCTCCTTTCAGCACTAGGTGGTGCCGGAGGCAGGCGCAGCGCACGGCGGGGCTGCGCTGCACCAGGCTGCGCTCCCCCCCTGCACCCCCAACCCCGACGTACCCCTGGCACCCCCTGCACCCCCCTTTTCCCCCACGGTCGGGGAACACCCCAGGACTCCCTGCTGGGGGTCTCCATCCCCTCCACACCCGCAAGGGGGGCGCAGGTGGCTGCTGCTGCCCGGGGACAGGGGCAGGGACCGGGTCACCCCCGGGGTCCCCCCCCTCAGCCCGCTCTGTGCAGCCCGGGGCTTGGTTCCCCCCTGTGCTGCGAGGGGACAGGCACCCACCGCCAGCCTCCCCGCACCCCTGGGCTCTGGGACTGAAGAGCTGGGGTGCTTCCTTGCAAAAAAATTAATGTTCTCATTAAAAAAATGGAAAGCCTGAAGCGTGCCCGAGCACAGTCAGAGCCACCCCGTGTAAATGAAGAGCCCCAAGCAGCAGCGCTGGCACAGCCCAGGCCCTCCCCATCAGCTCTCCCTGCATGAAGAGTTGCTCCAGGACTGCATAAAAATCCAGAATATTTAAATGTCCTGCTGGGAGAAGCTGCTCCTGGGTTTGGGGAGCGCTGTGGGTGTCCCTGTGAGCCTGTGCTTTCCCTGGGAGAAACTGAGAGGCAAAACAAACTTGCAGATAAGTTCCCGTACGGTCAGGAGCAGTTTTGTCTGTTTTATTATATGTGTGAGGAAGATTATTTTTTCCCCAAAAAGTAATTAAAATAGCCTCTTACACACACGAGAAAGGGAGGAGAGGGAACATTTTTTCCAGCAATCCTCTTTCCCATTACCTCCCCTCCTACGGCACAAGGACTTTTATCCCAACACAAATGGAACAGCTGAGATATTTTTTTTAAGGTCCCTGGGGCAGCCATCCAGTAACAAAGGCAAAGTTAAACAACTCCAAACAAAAGCAGCAGAAAAAAAAAAAAAGGGGGGGGTGTGGTGGTGGAAATAATGCGGGCTAAGTAGGAAACTTCAGTGATGAGACATGGAAAAAGTTAAACAATCAGAACTTGAACCAATTTGGCTCCGTTCCCACCTCATTTAGTTAATAGATGGTGCCCTTCACCACGTTTGATCTTAGCAGCAAAAAGCTTTTTACAAAGCTTGGAGGAGCCCGGGGAGGCGCCTGGCACGGGGCGCTGGGCTGGGAGCAGGGGGCATGGTGCAAGCAGCGCACCAAGTCTGGCACCCCACGTCTGTGTTTGGGGGGGGAACCAAAAACCACAGGCTGGAGGGAGAGTCGTCAGCATGTTAATTATTTGAATATGTGCGCTAATTAGATCCGGGGTTGCACACCCAAAATATATGAAAATGGAGGCCCGGAGAGTTTGTACCACAGGCAGATCCTCAGGGGCTCTGTGTTTTAAAATATTTAAGGCACATTCAGACAACAATTTCCACACATTAATGCTTTCCAAATAAAACCCTTTAGATTCCCTATCTGTTGGAGGCAAATAACTCGCATTGCTTCCCACTTTCCCACGTAGCAGTGAATTGAATACTAATCAGCTATTCAAAGCAGGCCTATCAAGATTTAGCTACGTAAGCAAGCATCCCTCTATTATACGGTTGCTAAACCCCAGTGAGCCTATCCTCACCCTCTCGGTGCTCACCTGCAGTGTTAGAGCAGCCCTGTTGTGTCCTTAATTCCTTAATTGCACACGCGTGCAGGAAGCGCTGGATGAACTCATGATGTTTAACTCAGGCGTTGGACGTTTTGTTCGGCTGCTTGGAAATGCCAAGATGCTCCCCCCAGCTCCCGTGAAAAAAAAAAGCGTCTGGGAATGTCTCTTCCAAACAGTGCTCTCCCATGGCCTTTGCTGCTGTTCTCCCTCCTGTCCGTGCCAAATTAACGGCGATTAGCGAGCCTGCCCCTCGAGCCAGTGCTCCTGACATGGGAATGATTGCTGTGATCCCGCTGGCAAATGCAGCACCGGCAGTGCCAGCTCCTGCCCTGGCACCCGAGCAGCACAGGGGCCACCCGCCCCCATTCCAGTTGGAAAGCCTCAGAAATAAAGACAAAGTGAGTATTTTATGCATGGGAACCAGTATTTCTGTGACATTTCTGGCTTTCTGGATGCAAACATGCAGAGACCTGGTGAGCTGTGTTACATCGGTGCCAAGGAGAGGGCACCCACGGGTGTTTGCAGGGCAGGGACGCTCTCACCCTGCCCAGCTCCGCACCCTGATGGCAAGCAGAATGGGAGCAGAAGGGCAGGAAAGACTCATGATTAAAAAAAAAAAGAAAAAAAAAATAGAAAAAAAAAAAAAGAAAAGAACAACTACAACAAAAAAGACCACAAAATCAGCACCCCCAAAACCACACAGCAGACCTCAGGTAAGACTCTGAATGCACGATGAGTTGCTAGAGAGGTGAGAGGTGCAGCTCTCTGTCCCAGGGCTTGTGTTTTATTAAGGCTTGTGGAGTGGAAACCCGTGGATTTGGGGTAAGAAAATCCTCTTTGTGCCATGCTTGGGGAAGCAGGATGCAAGCGGTAGGGGCTGGCATGCAACAGCTGCACAGCCCACGTTACTGCCTGAAAACAGAAACAGGCTGGAAAGCCTTCTTTTCATGAAGAATTAGAAAAAAACACCCTGCCTTTAAACTCAGGTAGAATTCAAGTCCCTTTTAACAGGGGAGCAGCAAGGCTATTCCCTCCATGCATCCCAAGTGGTGCTGCTACAAGGGAAACAATGCTGCTGGGGCTCACCAGCAGGATTTCCCCCCAGACAAAAGGTACCAGGAGCTGTCTGTCTGTCTGTCTGTCCAGCACCCACCTTATCCAGGCACCGAGGGTCTCCGCCACGCACGTCTCCTGAGGGAGAAACCCAAGGAATGGATCAAAGCGAAAGCAATTAAAGCGAGGCATAAAACCAACAATACAACTTTATTTTGTATCTCATACAAACGTTTTACAGAGTTAAATAGAATTAACAGGTAAGGCTTGTGCAGCTGGCCCTTGTTGTGAGCGGGGCGAGGCGGAGCCGTCGCTGCCTGCGGGCATCTGTTAGAGCACGGAGCCAGAAACCAACCTGCTCCAGGGCATTGCTGTTAGAGGGGGCTCTGAGCTCCTCGGGGGGGTCACACCAGCTGATAACTCATAGGAAAGAGTATCACAAGTGTGTGGAAAAATTGGTTTGGGGGAATGCATTTCCAAATTGAAAGAAAGGCGCAGGCAAAGCCTGGGTCTGCTCTCTCCGCGTTGTTTCTGCGCCCAGAGCTCAAGGATGCTGAACCAGCTTGTTAATTTTTAAGGTGTTCCCTGTGCTGGAGCTGCAGCACGGCTGGCACCTGGGGGGTGAGAAACCAGCCACAGATGGCACTGAGCGGGGACAAAAGGTGCCAGGGATGAAACACGGCTGCCAGCCCGCAACACACCAGGTTAATAAGGGAAATCAGAACAAACGCTGCTGCTGATCGCAAACTAACGAGCTCCAAGCAGAAGCCTGCAGACAAGGGGCAATCACACTTCATACCTGCTCAGCGTTAGTCTCCTAATTGCTCACAGCTGTCCCGAGTGTTCCCATTCAGCTGGGCCAACCTACCGAGCCAGGCTGTGCAGGTACAAGGAAAACAAGGCTCGGCTGTGTGGTGAAGTTGCCGTGTGCTCCTTGCACTTCGATAAGGAAAATGCTGATGGAAAAGGAGCTGGGGATGGGTGTCCTGCTGCTGGCATCCCCCCGGCTGCAAGAGGCAGTGTCTGGGGGTGGGAAGCTTGCTGGGGGAGCAGCACCCCCCTGCTGCAAGGCAGCCTGGCAGCTTTTGGAGTACCAGTGCTGCTGTGTCCTGCTTTTGCCTCGACCACATTGCCTTCTGCTTTCACAGCCCTCAGACAGGAGCAGTCCTGAGGCCAAAGCCTGGTGCCCGCAGGAGCTGCTGGAACCCCCCCAGGGCCTGGTCTCCTCCTGGCCCTGTAACACCCTGACCAAACCCCTCTGATCCGTTACATGGGGAAATAGTGACACAGAAATGAAAGGTTTGCCTGTACAGAAGGCACTTTCTCATTTATAAAGCACAAAAACGTGTTTCGGAAAGGGCCTCATGGTACCACCCACATGGCTTCCACCATCATCGTGGTGGCGTCTAACAGCAGGGTGTCTAAACCACACCTCTCTCCTCTAAACACTAACATAAAAAACGTTCCTCCAACAAAGCAACATCCCAAGATCCTCTATTTTTCCCCCCATAAAATAAAGGGCACGAGAAACCTGGCTAAAAGCACAGTCTCAGGGCACGGGCATGGATTTGCATCGGCTCGCTCCAGCCCTGGGGCCTCACGGTGGGCTCAAAGAGCTCTCACGTTACCTCCGAAGTGCCCGGGGGGGATTTTGTTTCCCCCTCCCCAGCTGCGAGGTCAGAGCAGAGCCAGATGGGGAGGACCACAGAAGCGTAACCGAAGCTGGGTCGGAGTCGGGAGGACGGAAGCAAAGGGGCCGGGAATTCAGGCAGGAGGAGCAGCGTGGGGGCAGCCAGGTGGGCTCCGCATCCTGCCTCAGCACCCCGTCCTCAGCACCCCGTCCTCAGCGTCCCCTACACGTGCTGCGAGGTGGCCAGGTGACAGAACAGCAGGGCTGGGAGCAGGGAAAGCCGTGTGGGATGCCCGGTGCAAGGGGGGGGCACAGAGCAGTCATCCGTGGGCAGGAGGCTGAAGTCACGGCAGAGGAATCAGCTTCTTTTGGTAAAGTGCCTTATGTTCTTCGAGCTTTTAAAACGTCTTCCTTGCTTTTTCGGATGGGGGGGGGAGGTATAGTAGTTTTATAGGAAAAAAAAAAACTAGGGAATGAATCAATATTTATGCAGATCTGGGATAAGGTTATGGCACAGACTAATAACCCGGCACAGCAACCCAAAAAAGCAGAGTGTCAAAGAGAAGGGAAAAACCTGTTCATACGCTTTCAACACCATCCCCTCGAGATCCCAAGTGTAAACGGTTTTTATCTACGAGAAGGCATTTGACTCGGGCTTTAGTAATCGGGGTTGATTACAGCCACATTGCGAAGCCGGCGGCGTGCATGTGGGTGGGCGGGCGCCGTCTGACCTCTGCGGAGCAGAGCGGGATTTAGACAAGTTCCACTTTAGCGTTGGGATAAACAGCCACCACGTCATAGCCCTCGGGGGGCTTAACTCTTTCCTTGGCGTGCGTCTCGCAGTAGAGCTGCTCCTCGATGAAGAAATACCCCCGCTGCTTCAGGTTGAGGCCGCAGTCGTCGCACATGAAGCACTCGGGGTGGTAGAGCTTGTCCCGAGCTTTGACGATGGTTCCCCTGGGGAGATGGGGAGAGCGTGGGTCAGACCGAGAGGGGCACGGGGACACGAGCAGCACCGGGGGCCTCTCCGACCCCCTGCTCCTTCCCCATCACTTGTCCCCTTGCCGTGCCAGGCATCTGCAGAACCCAGCACCACCAAGCCTTGAGCAGAGCACGAATTACAACAGGGAGAAGCAGAAGAGCACCTCTATTCCCTGAAACATGACCCCACACACACCCCCTGAGAGCAATTCCTCAACCAACAAACACAAATAGTTACAGGCCTCTTACACTTGACCCTCGTGGCATTTCTCCCTCAATAAGGCATCAAACAACTGAGAGTGCTTTCGGTGCCACACACGGCTGCTGTGACAAGCAGGGCACAAACCATTCAGTGAATTACCCACATTTTGCTGCAGGATTCCCCTAAAATGGGCAAGCCAAGCTGTCTTCCTCAACCCCAGCTTCAGACATAGCAAAACAAACAGACACCCCCAAAACCCAACAAACCGACCACCACCAAGGGATGCAGGGACTCTGCTGTAGCCTCGAACTTGCATTTCGGGTGGGAAACAACCCGGCCACGTCCCTGTGTGGCACTTACACGATCCCATTCCCGCATCTCGTGCACTCGGGGAGCATCTGCATCCCAGACATGGCACCGCCGAGCTTCGGCACCGCAGGCTTGACGGTCCGGGGGTTGCTCAGTCTGTCGAGTTTTTCACCTGCCAAGAGTTTGAGACAGACACAGACTGAAAACTTGTCCTCTGGGAGCTTTTTTTTTTTAAATTTTCATTAAGGAGCCAGACGAGTTCTTTAGTTATTTTTCCCAGGAGAACACACACACTGCCTGTCACAACCTGCTTGTAAGGAAGTACAGAGCAAAGAGTGAGACCAACTCCCTTTAAAAAGTCACACAGCATTCACAGGTGCCTGCAGGACAGCACATGGACCCTCTGCTCATCTTCTGCTCATCCTTACGGTGTGTGGATGGCAGCAGAAGCCTTTGCTCCTCTCCCCTCGTATTGCCAAAGCACCACCTCAGTACCTCTACATTGCCAAAAGGCAACGCAGTCTGTTGGGGATGAGAGATGAATCTGGCTGCAGTGCTGTTTAGTGAGTCAGGAAAGAAAGACAAATGACAAAAAGCTCCAAAAAGCTCCAGCAAGAATCGGTTCCAGCCCACAAACATTTGGGTGCACCTGCTGAATCCACCACCGCCAAGGAGACAAGGATGGAAGTCTTCTGGAGAACTAGGGAAATTAAAAAAATGACTATAACTGCGTGCATTTTTCTTCCTAGAAGGCTCAGTTTACTTTAATCTAAAATAATCTAATCTAAAATAAAACCTTCTCATAGAAAATGAGGTTTTCTGGGGCATGAGGTCTCCTTTCACAGAGGTCCAACTACAGGAAAGGAAGGAATGAAGCAAACGGCGACCCTTAAAGGTGTGCTTAGACCCTGCTGAGCTCTGTGAGGTTTTGGCATGGGCACAGGTGCTTTGTGGTTGAGGCATCTGTGCATGCTGCAAAATTTTGGGAAATTTGAGCCTGGATTTTGCCCCAAAGTGCCCACTTATGGCTCTGCACTTTTTAAGGAGACTTCTCCATATCTGGTTTACACGTCGTGGTCCAAAGGGCACTGCCAGCACCAGGGCCTGCTCCTCCCATCCGGCACACCACCGCGCACCAGCGCTCCCAGTTACAGGACAGGGCTGGGAATGCTGGAGAAGACAGAGCTTCCAGTAGAAATGCTTCCCATATAAACCAGCCCCTTCTCCGAGGTACCCAGCTGCGCAGAGCCTGACTTTAAAAGGCCAACACGCAGCAGCCCTGGGCCAAACTGGGTATTTTGGTGACATGCGTAGGCTGAAGGGAAATGGAACAGGGTGGAAGCTGTAAAACAACCCAGCCACAAACACTCCCGGTGATTTCAGCTGTGCTGAAACATCGCGGAGCTTTCTGCCAAGAGAGGT